TTCGCAGATCTAGAAAAAATGATGCTGAAATTCATATGGAGGCACAAGAGACCTCGAATAGCTAAAGCAATCTTGTACAACAAAAACAAAGCCGGAGGCATCACAATACCAGACTTCAGGACATACTACAGGGCAGTTGTAATCAAAACAGCATGGTACTGGTACAGAAACAGATGGATAGACCAATGGAACAGAATTGAAACACCAGAAATCAACCCAAACATCTACAGCCAACTTATATTTGATCAAGGATCTAAAACTAATTCCTGGAGCAAGGACAGTCTATTCAATAAATGGTGCTGGGAAAACTGGATTTCCACGTGCAGAATCATGAAGCAAGACCCCTACCTTACACCTTACACAAAAATCCACTCAACGTGGATTAAAGACCTAAATCTTCGTCCTGACACCATTAAGTTATTAGAGAACATTGGAGAAACCCTTCAAGATATTGGCACAGGCAAAGAATTTCTGGAAAAGACCCGGGAGGCACAGACAGTCAAAGCCAAAATCAACTATTGGGATTGCATCAAATTGAGAAGTTTCTGTACTGCAAAAGAAACAGTCAGGAGAGTGAAGAGACAACCGACAGAATGGGAAAAAATATTTGCAAACTATGCAACAGATAAAGGGTTAATAACCAGAATCTACAAAGAGATCAAGAAACTCCACAAAAACAAAACCAACAACCCACTTAAGAGATGGGCCAAGGACCTCAATAGACATTTTTCAAAAGAGGAAATCCAAATGGCCAACAGGCACATGAAAAAATGTTCAAGGTCACTAGCAATCAGGGAAATGCAAATCAAAACCACAATGAGGTTTCACCCCACCCCGGTTAGAATGGCTCACATACAGAAATCTAATGCTGTAGAGGATGTGGGGAAAAAGGGACACTAACCCACTGTTGGTGGGAATGCAAACTGGTCAAGCCACTATGGAAATCAGTCTGGAGATTCCTCAGAAACCTGAATATAACCCTACCATACAACCCAGCCATCCCACTCCTTGGAATTTACCCAAAGGAAATTAAATTGGGAAACAAAAAATTGGTCTGCACCTTAATGTTTACTGCAGCTCAATTCACAATAGCTAAGACCCGGAATCAACCTAAATGCCCATCAACAGTAGACTGGAGAAAGAAATTATGGGATATGTACTATATGTACTCTATAGAGTACTAAAAAAAAAAAAAAAAAAAAAAACACACACACACACACAATGAAATCGGGTCATTTGCAACCAAATGGAGGAATCTGGAAAACATTATGCTGAGTGAAATAAGCCAGTCCCAAAGGGAAAAATATCATATGTTCTCCCTGATCAGTGACAACTAACCAAGCACCAAAAAGGAAACCTGTTAAAGTGAAATGAACACTATGAGAAACAGTGACTTGATCAGCTCTTGCCCTGACTGTTGATGAACAACTTAATACATTATCCCTCTTAGTATTTTTTTGTTTGTTCTGCTTTATACTATTGGTTGAATTCTGTAATTAATACACAGTTATTCTTAAGTGTTGAAACTTAACTGAAAGGTGATCCCTGTTAAACATAAGAGTGGGAATAAGAGAGGGAAGAGATGTACAATTTGGGACATGCTCAATCGGACTTGCCCCAAATGGTAGAGTTAGAAACATACCAGGGGATTCCAATTCAATCCCATCAAGGTGGCATGTACCAATGCCATCTCACTAGTCCAAGTGATCAATTTCTGTTCACAATTGATCATGATAGGACTAAGAGTCAAAGGGATCACATAAACAAGACTAGTGTCTGCAAATACTAACCAATAGAATAAAAAAGGGAGAGAATGATCCAACATGGGAAGCGGGATACACAGCAGACTCATAGAATGGCGGATGTCCTAAACAGCACTCTGGCCTCAGAATCAGCCCTTAAGGCATGCGGATCCGGCTGAAAAGCCCATGAGAGTATTAGAGTATTTCAGGCATGGAAAGCCAAGACACTCTGGCAACAATAAACAAAGCAGCAACAAACCTAAATGAAAGATCTCTGTGAGTGAGATCCCAGTGGAAAGAACAGGTCATCAAAGAAGGAGGTACCTTTCTCTGAAGAAAGGAAGAACTTCCACTTTGACTACGACCTTGTCTAAATATGATCAGAGTCCGTGAACTCAAAAGGCTTCCATAGCCTTGGCAACTCAAGACAAGAGCCTAGAGTGATTACTGATGCCATAAACAAGAGTATCAATTTATTAAGTCAACAACAGGAGTCACTGTACACTTACTCCTTATGTAGGATCTCTGTCCTTAATGTGCTGTACATTCTGATTTAATGCTATAACTAGTACTCAAACAGTATTTTTCACTTTGTGTTTCTATGTGGGTGCAAACTTGAAATCTTTAGTTAATATATGCTAAACTTATCTTCTGTATATAAAGAGAATCGAAAATGAATCTTGATGTGAATGGAAGGGGAGAGGGAGCGGGAAATGGGAGGGTTGCAGGTGGGAGGGAAGTTATGGAGGGGGGGAAGCCACTGTAATCCATAAGCTGTACTTTGGAAATTTATATATATTAAATAAAAGTTTAAAAAAAGTTAAGTAATTATTACATTTTCCAGAAAAAAAATATCAATGGTAGCTCACAGATAGGAGAGCTACCCTTTCCCCTACCTCTTACCCTGCCTCCTACCCAAAAAGATCGATATAATTAGAAGAAAACCCCTTTCCACCTCACCACAAAAATACCCAGGGAGAAAGGGAAATAATAAGAGAGGGAAAGGAACTGAAACCCAGGATTCAGAAATGGGAATGGGAAGAGTTGGTTCATGATTACATAGAGTTAACTAGGAGGGTTAAATTCTGGTGTTCCACAGCGCAGAAGGGTGAATGTAGGTTACAATAATTTGTGTATCTTATTTCAAAATAGCCCTAAGAGAGGATTTTGGATGTTTCCAACACAAATAATAAATGTTTGCTAATTAACTTGATCTGATCATTAAATGTTGTAAACATATATTACAATGTCACAATGTACCCCACAAACATATACAATTATTCTATGACAATTTAAAATGGGGAAAGAGGGTGAGGATCTAGACTGTGAAACTGGTCACAAAGTCAAAACTGATTGAAATCAGGGCTAGGTGGAGGGAAACAGAAGAGGAGAAGAGAAGAGAAGGGAGCAGCTGAGGATGCCCAAAGGGTCCGTCAGTGATATCATGATCAGAAACAAGATCAGAAACAGAGGCCAGGTTAGTTACATGGAAATGGCAGAAAGGTGGAAATTAGGGAGCTAGGGGGTGGGGGCAGAGAGCAAGCTGTTGATTGACAAAGCATCCATGGGCTGCCGATACCCAGGGACAATTCTTTGGCCATCCTTATGCTGGGGGAGTGTATCAGCGCTGGTGCTGAGCGAGGCTGTTGGTATCTCCGTCTCAAAGTACACACACCCCACCACAAAGCTCTGTCTCTCTGAGAGCCCTGCCCACACCTGGGTGCTGATTCCTCAACATTTCTGAGTACCACACCCATAGGCTGACTCACCCTGAGACTTCAGCACTGACCCGAGTCCCATAGATTTGCTTTGGTAACCAGAATAATGGGCTATTAGTTGAATGGACCTCAATATTGACTTCAACAGCTTGTGGTTTTCTACAGGGCAGTCACCTCCTGGAAAACCTTTCATCTTCAAATGCCGCTCTCCTGAGAAGGAAACATTCACCTGCTGGTGGAGGCCTGGAGCAGACGGAGGACTTCCTACCAATTACACACTGACTTACCACAAGGAAGGGTACAGAGTTCTCTTCTATCCATACCCCTATGGCCAAAGTACACTGGTTCTAAGTTAGAATTACCACCCTTGCCTGGATTTACATCAAAAAGCATCATACCAGTTGTTAAAAGGGAAGTCCAGTTTCCATGACATCAGTTTTCATCCATTTGAGTCTTTTTAAAAATGAAGTGTAACTTGATATTTTTAAGTATACATTTAAAATGCATATGCAAAAATGCTGCATTGTACAGAGCCCCATTATATGTGTTCAAGCTAAAGTTCCAGTTTCCCACCCCGGAAATGACAGTGCCTTGGCCATTGAAAGTGTTTATGAGCAGGGGGAATATATCACAAAGCCAACCAAGACAACAACAGAAGAAACGGGTTAATGAGAAGCAGAGTAGCTGAGTCCCAGAAACCACCTTTCTAATTCATTCTCCAGCTTTCTCTCTCTCACTCCCTCACTCCAGGCTAACATGGGTAGAGCACAGAAGCCGGGGAGCTATTGTTCACTCTGGTTTTGTACTTGGACTGTCTGATCCCAAACATTAGTGGGGTTGATCTACTAAGAAGATCTAAACTGTTTCAATTACTTTCTTACTCACTTCTAATACATTTTACTCATTGCAGAGAAACAATCACTCATGAGTGTCCAGACTACAAGACCGGTGGTCCCAACTCCTGTTACTTTAGCAAGAAGCACACCTCCATATGGACGATATACATCATCACAGTGAATGCCACCAACCAGATGGGAAGCAGTGTTTCGGATCCACGTTATGTGGATGTGACTTACATAGGTAATGGGAGGGGGAATGAGTGAGGAATTTGTTACTCCGTTATGCATTTACCAGTGGTCAAACTCAGTTTGAGTTTTCTTGGCTTTTGAATGGATCCCCCAAAAAAGATGAAATAATTCACAATTTCATTGTCAAGCAAGAATTTCAAACAATTTGTATTGAGTCATTCCTGACAGACTAGTGTTTGAGATCCTTGAATCCTCTGGCCTTCCCTTCCTGTCCCCTTGCATGCAGCATGAATGTTATGTGTGTGCCTTACTTACCAACTCTTCTCTCCTGCCCTCCCTGTGCAATCCGTGTCCTCTTCTTCCTTGACAAATTGAAATTTCTTTTCTTTCTCTCCGATAGAGATATTCTCCATACGGAAGTAGCACTCTGAGGGGTTTATATGATTCCATAGCCACAGGAATCACTCATTTAATTTGCTCCAATCTCAATTCTCAAATGCATGTACTTCCTAGAAATCTGAACTATTATTTTACAAATAAGAATTGTGGAGTAAATAGGTTCACTTGAGCAACAGGCCGAAGGTCAAGATCTCAAGGACAATCTTTGGAGAATCCATTAGCAGAGTACAACAAAGTGGACCTGATAGATGCTTCTTGCTTTGCTTGACTAACATTAAGCTGCAGGGCAATTGGGCATAACTACAACAGCTTTTATTATCTAATGAGGATGACAAAGGAAATCCTAGGGAAAGTGATGGCTTGCCTAGGAGTTGGCCTCACACTTTTCTTGGATAATAGTCTGTACAGTAGTTACCCAAGTCTCTGATTTACCTAACACCACACAACAAGGAAAATCAGAGTATTCACTTCCATATCATCCCATTGGCATGTTATCAATGATTGATCCTAAAAAACTAGAAAAGTTCCCAATACCAACTGACATACACTTGAAGAATATTTTCTTCCCCCAACAAATAACTGGAATGAAGATAGGATTAGAAACTTAATTTGATCTTAGTTTAAGAAAATAATAAAGGCAATCTCTCTGGCAGGGAGGAATAAAATAAATTCTGATCCTATATATTTATTGGAGATACAAAGTCTTTAACATGCTAAATGCTGATTAATTCTTCATTTTCATGGTTTTTCCCCCTTGAAATGCCTTGTCCTCAAGTTTTATAAATTGAGAGCAAACAATGAAAACAACAGAAATTCTGAAACAAGCAACTGTTATATTGAATGTGATTCTCTCTCTCTGTGTGTGTGTCTCTCTCTCACACACACAACACAAATGGGTTCACTAAAGCAGTAGTTTTAAAAAATGAAGTCAATAGGCTGGCGCTGTGGCTCACTAGGCTAATCCTCAGCCTGCGGCGCCAGCACTCCGGGTTCTAGTCCCAGTTGGGGCGCCGGATTCTGTCACGGTTGCTCCTCTTCCAGTCCAGCTGTCTGCTGTGGCCCAGGAAGGCAGTGGAGGATGGCCCAAGTGCTTGGGCCCTACACCCACATAGGAGACCAAGAAGAAGCACCTGGCTCCTGGCTTCGGATCGCAGTGCCAGCCGTAGTGGCCATTTGGGGGGTGAACCAACAGAAGGAAGACCTTTCTCTCTGTCTCTCTCTCTCTCTCACTGTCTAACTCTGCCTGTCAAAAAAAAAAAATGAAGTCAATAAGTTTTATCAAATTTGCATTAACTCTGGAAAAGAAATCTCTAGTGAAAGAATGTGTTGGGCTGCATGTTTCAGAATAAGAAAAGTGCGTGAGGAATTCCTATATAACCCTTCAGCATACATTGTTGGTGACGGGCCATGGAAGTTCATTAGCAACCAGTTTTTACCACAATACATTTTCTGTCCACTCAGCTCTCATCCAGTGACAACCCACAACAGAAAATGACAACACTAGCAAATAATGGAACAGAAATAAATTTCTTTGTTGTCATTGTCATTGGATAACATATATCTATGTTGAAGACACCTGAAAGCTGTAGTTCCCAACTGAGGGCTATTTTGTCCCCCACAGGATACTTGGCAAAGTCTAGAGACAGTTTCACATTTTTCAACTTGCAGGTGGGCAGAGGGCAGTACTGACATCTGGTAGGTGGAGGCAGAGATGCTGCTATGCATCCTACAGTAACTAGGACAGCCCCCACAACAAGGAAACATCTGGCCCAAAATGCCAGTGGCACTGAGGTTAGAAAACTGCTAGAAAGGATTCATTCTACATATTTTACCTGCACATTTGCACAGATATTTTTTTATCTCAGACATTGCTCAATAGATATTTGATTTAAGATTTACATTAACTGATTTTGTTTTAGTAAATTCACCTAAAATATTCTTTCTTAGGTGTTCACTCAGTAATGTATAAGCATTAGGATTAGTGGAAACTTCTTAACATTCATTTTTTTTAGGCAAATGTAGGTCATAATGCCACATTCATCCATGGTAGTTACATATACTCTTTCTCCACGCAGTATAGAGACTGATTTGAGGACATAATAAATGAATGGAGAAAGTGTTACAGCACCTCTGACACTTCACTCTTAGGGAGGTACCACCGGCCCTTTGCTTACCAGAATCTGAGAGTAAGCACCTCCTTCATTTTTTTATTTTGTAAAATACACATACCATAAAGTTCACCATATTAACCATTTTAAAGTGTTGAATTCGGTGGTATTTCTTCTGTCTCTGTGATATGCAAACATGATCTAGTTCCAGCTCCCAGCTGAGGAAAATAACCTATGTTAAGTCCCCTGCTGAGTCTTCCATCCCAACTCCCACTTTCAAATCCCAGCCCAATTTGTATCACCTACACCCTGTCATCATGAAAATGATCTGGGGAGGTACCTGACCCAGGTTGCTAGAAAGTAGAGAGCGTGACGAGAATGAAATCTCAGCAGCATGTTATTCTGTCTATCCAAACCTCATTTTCAAGGACCAATGTGACAGATCACATTCTAAGAGGCAGATGGCATGGGACTTGTGGAAATGCAGTGGGCAGAGCAGGCTGATAAATAGAAAATGCAATCATAATCAAAAACAGCAGAGCCAAATAAAAGGTACCAGCAATGAATGCTATTGAAGTTTCTTTTCCATCTACAGTTGAACCAGACCCTCCTGTGAACCTGACTTTGGAAGTAAAACATCCAGAGGACAGAAAACCCTACTTGTGGGTAAAGTGGCTTCCACCTACCTTGGTTGATGTGAGATCTGGTTGGCTCACACTACAGTATGAAATTCGATTAAAACCTGAGAAAGCAGCTGAGTGGGAGGTGAGTCAAACAGGAAACATGTCTTTTGGCAAGGATGGAGCCCTCATAACCAAGAAGAGGCCCTTCCTCCTAATTATTAGGCTATGGCTATGATGTAGGCTTCTCAATAAAAACATGACCCACTCAGATATGGAAAGCTCCCCCACCCTGTTAATTGAAGGAGGCCCCTTGTACTGCACAACCTGCTCCCCCAGGATCCAGTCTCCTCCCTAAGTATATCTTAGCTGTGGACAACTGTGGGAGTAATTCAGTGATACCAGGGGTGGTGGTCAAGGAGATCTTCAGCATAATCTGTCCATGGGCAACAGCTGTGCTTGCATTCACTTTAAAATGTTCCAAGGAGTGGGCATTGTTGTGCAGCAGATTAAGCTACCACTTGGGACATCTGCATTCCCAGAGTGCCAGTTTGAGTCCTGGTTACTCCACACTTCTGATCCAGCTTCCTGCTCGTGTGCCTGGGAAAGCATTAGATGATGCCCCCAAGTACTTGGTTTCCTGCCCACCCATGTGGGAGACCCATGTGGAGTTCTAGTCTCCTGTCTGTTACCTGGCTCAGCCATGGCTATTGCAAGCATGGATAGCAGATACCACTGGGCCGGCGCCGTGGCTCACTAGGCTAATCCTCCGCCTAGCGGCGCCAGCACACCGGGTTCTAGTCCTGGTCGGGGCGCCGGATTCTGTCCCAGTTGCCCCTCTTCCAGGCCAGCCCTCTGCTGTGGCCAGGGAGTGCAGTGGAGGATGGCCCAGGTGCTTGGGCCCTGCACCCCATGGGAGACCAGGATAAGCACCTGGCTCCTGGCTCCTGCCATCCGGATCAGCGCGCCAGCCGCAGTGGCCATCGACCGGGACTAGAACCCGGTGTGCCGGCGCTGCAAGGCGGAGGATTAGCCTATTGAGCCGCGACGCCGGCCTAATAAATAAGAAAAAAAAAAAAGATACCACTACCCCATTCTCTAAGTTACAAGCATCATAACATTCTTCTACCCTTAAACACTTTAATACAAGCCCCTTTAAAAAGGGACCATTCCTGAACACATCTAGAATAATAGGATCACACATAGGAAACTTAATAAAAATTCCTTAACATCATTAGAAGCCAGTCCATATTTTAATCCCCTCCCACCAGCTGCTTCAAGAACAGCTTCAAGAACATGACTAATAGCTCATTTGTCTCCAGGACCACACACTGTAGCTGGTTCTTATAATACTTGTCCCATAGAATGCCAGGTCACTGGTCCCATAGGACGTCCCACATTCTTTATTGATCTGATTTGCTGTTTGTGGGGTCATTTAGCTAATTTCTCTAGCTCCATACTTCCTGTAATGAAACATTAGATCAGATTCTGGTTGAACAGTTTTGGGGCAGCATACTTCAGAGGAGATATTATGTGCTTCACGTTGCATTGTATTGGTGGAGACACAAACCATCCCTCTACTTCCCATAAGTGATTCTAAAACTAATTTGTGGGGTGGAGAGATGACAAACTGATCCCTTGGTTATAAAGCCATGTTTAATTCATGCATTATTATTTCAATGTGCATGAATACCTAGCTCTCTTCCTTTTAGTGGTTTTAACACCAATGAACAATCCTTGAGTTAGTTGCTTGGTTAGGGCTTATAAAGTAAAGAACGATCCAATTTCATGATTCCCTCTACATTTATTAACTGCCTTTCATAAAGTAGAGTGGAGGAGTAAATGTTTGTCTGTCTGAAATAGAGTTCCAGATAGGGGAAAACCTGTTAAGGTTTGGTATGAGCAATTTTCAAGAGGAAGAAGACAGAGCTGAGCGAGTGAAAAGGTGATAACAATGTATTCTCTAAGTGTAATTAATACAGCCCAACTCTTCCAATAGCTTGTTATTTAGGGAAGAAGTCTTTTTCTTCATAACCTAAATAAAAAATTATTTGTTTTCTTTAGACTCATTTTGCTGGGCAGCAGACACAGTTTAAGATTCTCAGCTTATATCCAGGACAGAAATACCTTGTCCAGGTTCGTTGCAAGCCAGATCACGGGTTCTGGAGTGTGTGGAGCCCTGAGAGCTCCATTCAGATACCTAATGGTGAGTTTCTCGGCTACCTTTGACTATTATTCTAAATATTTTTAGATGGCAAACCTGCACTTAATAACTACTAATGGAAAAACTACTTTGAGTTGTCACCAGAGCAAGAAGTGCAAGTGGGTCTGTGGCCTCTCTACCTCATGAAAGGATATTTGGAAGGGCTGCATGGCTCCCTGGGTCACTGTCAGTGAGGACCAGTTGTAGGGTAGGATTGCAGAAACTATCTCAGAGGGCCTAATGGTCAGGCATCCTATCCTTCCCATCTGCCACACTTGCCCATCCAGTCAAGGTCATGATCCAGTCCTCCCAAAGTCTATTCGGTGGTCTCCCATCTCAACAACATGAACTGATGTTTAACGTCTCACATGGATTATGTCTTGGTCTCTAAGTTAAGGCACAGTATACAAGAAGCACTCAGTTCTAATAAAGTACCAATAAATTTGGTGGCTTCTATTCATAGGGGCATAATTCATCTTGTGTTTCTGGAGTATGTTTACAAAAAGTCATTACTTTGTTTGGGCTTCCCAACCCTCTCGGGTCTTCGGAGAGAATTTCATGACTGTTAGGAATTAAAAGAGGAAACGGAAGCTCAGGGAAGTTAATGGACTTTTTCAGAACCTCCTGGCAAATTCTAGCTCTTCTAATAAGTTGCCTGGCCAAAGTATCAGCGCTTTCATTGGCTTAGCTTTCTGGAAAGAGCACTGAAGTGTGGGTCAGGACTTGCATTTTGCCCACCTCTGGGTCATACTAAATAAAAGCGCAGGGCATAGAGGTAGAAGGCCTGGGTTCAAATCCCAGACTTCACTTCTATAGTGATGTGACCATGAATAAATTACTCTTTTCTACTTTCTTGTCTATAAAACAAGGCAATGTATGTAAAGGGCTTAACACCATCAGTGGCTTTTAGTAAGAATGTAATAGATGTTAGCTTTATGATCATAACTTCAGCTAACCATATGCCCTCAGATATCCTCTTTAAGACTCAAGTAAAAGAATATGTGAAAGGATTTTAAAATGTATAGAGCACTATAAAAATATATGTAACTTATGAAAATATATTTAATATTGAAAAAAGTTAAACTTCCCCTGATGCTACTTTGCTTTGCACTGCTCTTCAAATGAAAAGAGATAGGTGTGTGGGATGGTGGGAGAGGACTGTTTATTCAACAGCTTTATTCATAGGTTTGTTTTTGCTTTCTTTTTAAATGATACTGTATGTGATCAAAGTTTCCTGGCTGTTTGTTTTTCAGACTTTACCATGAAAGATATAACCGTGTGGATCTTTGTGGCTGTTCTTTCTACCATCATCTGTTTGATTATGGTCTGGGCAGTGGCTTTGAAGGGCTATAGGTACTGCATTGTCTCTCAATCCTTCTCCCAGTCATGGTTGTCAGGGATAACAGCAAAAAAAAAAAAAAAAGATAATACACAGATGATGGGAACCTACAGATAATCCAAGCACCTCATTTTAGCCATTAGTTGCAGTGTTCACTCATTAAAAAAAAAAAAAACTTTTATCAGTGCTAGAGAAAGTAAAAAAAAAAAAAAATGGGTTCCTTTGAGGCCAGTACTCTTCCCATCAAAAAGAGGTTCGCAGTTGGGAAATAGTAACAATCTGACAAGAACAGATGAAATCATGAGAAGGAAAAAAATCTGAATAATCCACCAAGTTCAAAATCATCCTCCTAAATTAGCCACAGCAAGTGTTAACGGGGGTCTCTGTAATTATTATCTTCATCATTGATTACTAGTCTCGTGTAGCCCGAGAACTCTAACTCCATCGCCCACAGACCATGTAGCAGTAATTTTGGAGATAATACTGATCTTTCAAAAATTACAAAGTGAAAAGATGACTCACTTATCCAATCTCACAAATTATTTTGTAGCATGGTGACCTGCATCTTTCCACCAGTTCCTGGGCCAAAAATAAAAGGATTTGATACTCATCTGCTGGAGGTAAGTGCCAAAGACAGAGAACATGACTCACAGCTTTGTAACAATTAACATCACACATGCACACGCAATCCCTCTTGAGCTAGCCTGGCCAGCTTAACCATCCTTCCCCAGCTGTCTCTGCTCATCAGCATGTGTTAACAGAAAAGATGTGTGGGGAGCAAGGGTGCTTACGATCAGACACAGAATGTCATAGGGCAAGGAGAGAAAGCCAAGAAAACATGAAAACACGTAGTAGTACTTGCTAGATTTACCAGGTCTGTACATAAGCACAGAGATAAACATTTTATGGAAATGATCAACTTAGAAAGGGGCAAGTATTTTGATTATTACAAAGTGGGGACCTACAATCAACCCCTCCATCCTGTACTGGTAATAGCTTCCACTAGAAGGTTCTTTCCATAAGGCTGTTGAAACAGAATATTCTATTGAAATTGTTGGAGCTTAGACAGGGTCAGTACAGTGGAGGCTGATATTTGCCAGGATCTATTTAGACTGACTGAAGAGAGAAATCCATTTAAATGTTTTGAATGAAAAGTGGGGTTGGGACATTTTAAATTTTCCTCTGTATTGAAATAAAAAGTTTCAACTAGACCTTCAGCTCAATGGTGAGATACACACACACACACACACACACACGCACACATATTTATGGATGTACATGGAATTACTTGTATGTAAAAGCACATGCCACTTGACTACTGCAGAGCCAACAGTGCAACAATAGGAAAAGTAAGTGCCAGAGAATTTGGCTTATCTGCATTCATTTTGGCAATGAATATCAGACCAGGGACTAGAGCCCAGGAGTTCAGGTTGCTGGTCAAGTGCTCTTCCACCACTATCCAGCCTAGCATTGACCTTTCATGAATGTCTTAGCTAACTAAAGTAACTACTGTCTACCTCACAATTCAACCTACTAGTCACAGAGATTTAATGATAAAATACATACTTTCTATCAAAAAATGTTTTAATATTCTTAATTGTATTACCTCTAATCCTCAAAAAGAACTCTCCCAAATGGGTAGAATTGTCCCCAATTTAAAAATGGAGAAGCTGAGATTCAGAAAGCAGTGTGTCCTAAGTGATAAACTCTGCAATAAATGATAAAACAGGCCAGGCACCAGTACCTGACCTGCGTCAGAGCCTGGCAAAGAAGAAGGAAAGTAGGAGAGATGGGAGGATAGAAGAGGGAAGCTAACAGGCAGCTCTCCTTGTGTCTGTTCAACAGAAGGGCAAGTCTGAGGAACTCCTGAGTGCCTTCGGATGTCAAGACTTCCCTCCCACTGCTGATTGTGAGGACTTGCTGGTAGAGTTTCTAGAAGTGGACGACAGTGAGGACCAGCAGCTGATGCCAGCCCACTCAAAAGAACACTCCGGTCCAGGCATGAAACCCACAGACCTTGATCCTGACAATGACTCTGGCCGGGGAAGCTGTGACAGCCCTTCCCTTTTGTCTGAAAAGTGTGAGGAGCCCCAGGCTAATCCGTCCACGTTCCATACCCCTGAGGTTATTGAGCAGCCAGAGAAGCCCAAAGCAAATGTCACCCACACTTGGGACCCCCAGACTATAAGCCTGGTAGGCAAAATGCCCTACCTGAGTGTCAATGGGTCCAAATCTTCAACATGGCCTTTACTGCAGCCCGGTCAGCACAACACAAATTCTCCTTACCACAACATTGCTGACATGTGTAAGCTGGCCACTTCACTGGACAAAATAGACAAAGATGCTTTACAATCCTCCAAAACCACTGAGGCTGCAGGGGAGGAAAAGGCAACCAAGCAGAGAGAAGTGGAGAGCTCTCATTCCAAGGCTGAGCAAGACACAGGATGGTTGCTGCCCAAAGAGAAACCCCCCTTTATCTCTCCAAAGCCGCTGGATTATGTGGAGATTCACAAGGTCAATAAAGATGGAGCACTATCATTGCTACTGAAACAGAAAGAGAATGGTGACCAGACTGGGAAGGCTGGGACCCCTGAAACCAGCAAGGAGTACGCTAAAGTGTCCAGGGTTATGGATAACAACATCCTGGTGTTAGTGCAAGATCCAGGAGCTCAAAACGTGGCTTTGTTTGAAGAGTCAACCAAGGAGGCTCCGCCATCACCTTCTCAGAACCAAGCTGAGAAAGACCTGTCCAGCTTCTCCACGGCCCCAAGCGACTGCAGACTCCAGCAGGGGGGGCTGGATTACCTGGATCCTGCATGTTTCATGCACTCCCTTCATTGATAGCTTGACTCATGGGATGATTGGTTCAAATGTGATTTCCTTTCAGGTAACACTACAGAGTCCAAGAAATATGGTCTACTAGTGTGTGCTCGAGAATGTGTTTAGAATGACGCTTACTCAAGCTCACGGTTTGCTCCTTTTCATGCTCAATTTTCAACCATTTGCCTTTTTCTTCAATAGCTGATTCCAGAACAAATCATTTCGTTTCCTAACTGTGATTTGTAGATTTCCTCTTTGCTATTCATTATACAATTATATGCTTGATGAAATAAAAGCACATTGCTTCATATTCTTGAGGGACAGTACCGATAGGTATCTCCTCTGAAAAAGGCTTTCGTGGTTTCGTTTGTGCCAAAAAGAAATGATATGGTCAAAATGCTTACCACAGGGAGATGACAGCTATGTGGAAAATGCCATGAAAACCACTTTTGAAAGCCAATTGCTTAATCTTTATACTACACTATCATTTTTATTACAATTACCCAAATGTAACACATTTAAGGAAAGAATGCATCCCAGAACACTTGACAGATCATTTACATAAGTTCTGGCACCTTACTGACACATTGCCCGTACGCAAGTAAAAGGAGGCCTCCAATTTTTCCTTAAGATACTTTTAATATGTTCAGGATACATTTCTCTCCCCTCCCTAAATTTTATTTCATTCCAAAGCCTCTGGAGAATATAGTTCAGGAAAGTGAAATTTTCTTACACAAGAGGCAAATGAATTTCATGTGACAAATTCTTTTAAAATGTTTTCCTGCCTCATTTCAGCAGGATAGATAATTTATTATATACCCTAATCTTTTCTTGGAGGAAAAAACATCCCAAAAGACTAACTTTAATTTAAAAGATAATCATAGCAGGATGCTAATAGAAATACTGCCTTATTGTACATAAAAATTCTACTTTATTACGAACCCCCAAGTGTAACAATGTATTTTTGAAGACTATTTTTCTATCACTTAGGTAAAATAAAAAAGACTATTTTCTATCTTCCCAGTACATCTGTTTACGTATTCAGTGGGCATAGTGTTTTCTGCTACGAGGTTGTAGTATTTACAGCACATAGTTGTATATGCAGTTTCTGTTTGTGGAGTAAAATGCCACACCATCCCTAAAGCCATGGGAAATATGAAGTGGGTGACAAAATTCAGTTTCCAACACATCATTGTGTAGATAATCTGATTCTGTTTACCTTCAGGATACTTCACACAACAACCAGGATCCCATTCCAGGAGTTACTCCTCCCTGTCACCCCATGAGGAAAGGGCTGGTCTGGGGTCTCAGATCTTCTGTGGGGTGAATCTTCATGACATTACCATGAAAAATAAGAGGGGTGACTTTTAACACTGTTTCAGAGAAAGAAGTTTGCTTTTGTTTTATTTCTCTGATAAATTTTGGAAAGCAAAAAATATTTTAAACAAAGCCAGCAGTTAGTATCTCTCTGGGGTAGATCAGTTTGCAAAATCTTGGCTGAGGTAGAAATGTGCTCACATGAGAAGAGTCCAAGTAAAAGTTCTAGGAAACCAGACATCTGTAGAGCGATAAGAACAGCTCCAAAGGTCAGGGTATAATAGTCAGACTCTCCAGGTCAGTTCCAAGGGCAGGCCTCTTGAGAGGGGTCCAAAGCTTGGATCTTCATTTAAAGGGAGCAATTTATCTACTGTACAAACTGCCTCCTTCTGTTTTTCATTTTGCCTATTGGCAAACCCACTGTCCATATCCATTCACTAACGGGGCATAAAGAACTTGACTCACCTCTGTGAGTAAAATATTCCACCTCAAAAAGCTCATAGTGACAGGAAATTGCCAAGTTCATTCAGTCTCCCAGATCCTCCATTCTCATGTGTCAGGACAAGCTGCATTGCCATGACCTGGGCATTGTTTGTAAATTCTGTTTGCGGAATCTCAGGCCCCAACCAGATCTTCAGAATCAGAATCTGCATTTTACTGAAATCTCCAGATGATTCAAGTGCACATTGAAGTTGGAGAAGCACTACTTTAATGACCATTTCCACTAAAGGTTACTTTAGTACATAGAAACAATCCTGGCTTGGAAAATTTAGCCAAATCAGTTTGACTTGCAGTGAACAACACTGTACATGAGGAGAAGGGAACAACAGCAAAACCTAGGAGGGATTTAAGAGTCACATCACAGAGAATCCTATGTGAGTTCTAGATAAGAGAATGGCCCATAAAATACACACAACTTCCTCGAGGGCCAGGGAATACAGCCCACCTTCAGGAACACTGAGCAAAAAGACAGTGATGTTCAAAGCCAACATACACCTAATCTTTCTTAGCATAGTCCATCCTTCATTGATCAATTGATTGATTGATAGGTAGATATCACCTTCAAAAACTTATAAACAATCCACTTCTGACAAACAATTTTGCAGACATGAAAATATGCTATGCCTGGCTGGCGCCACGGCTCAATAGACTAATCCTCCGCCTTGTGGCGCCAGCACACCAGGTTCTAGTCCCAGTCAGGGCGCTGGATTCTGTCCCGGTTGCCCCTCTTCCAGGACAGCTCTCTGCTGTGGCCAGGGAGTGCAGTGGAGGATGGCCCAAGTGCTTGGGCCCTGCACCCCATGGGAGACCAGGAGAAGCACCTGGCTCCTGCTTTCGGATCAGTGCGGTGCGCCGGCAGCAGCGCGCCATTCATGGCGGCCATTGGAGGGTGAACCAACGGCAAAGGAAAACCTTTCCCTCTGTCTCTCTCTCTCACTGTCCACTCTGCCTGTCAAAAAAAGAAAAGAAAAAGAAAATATGCTATGCCTAAAATCTTGAGCTAAATTCTTAAAACACCAATTTGTTACTCACTAAGAAAAACCAAGACTATAATTCCACGGTCAGTTAAAACTCTTTATTTGAACTAGGTTTTTTTTTTTTTTTTTTTAATGGTCCTACATATTTTCCACTAAAGAGACAGTTGCTTGAATGAAAGAATGTATGCTAGAGATCAAGAAATCTGGGTTCTAGTTCTAGCTGTTTTTCCTTGGATCCATTCTCTTCTCTGAGTCTCAGCTTCCTCTGAAGATGCTGGACAAAATAATCTCTAAGTTCATTTTAAATTCTGACTCCTTGTTTCCATGACTCACTGAATATTTTCCTACAGAAATAATTAAAACCAATGCCTTGTGTCTTAATTCTGGTATCAAATAATTGCTCTTCCTCATGCAAATGGGAAGCAATCTTCAGTAATGTGCTTGCCTCACTTCACTTTTTAAATCCTCAGTTCTAATTGGTCTTAATATATTGCCCATAGCTTTTATCAGTTGTCTAGGTGCAAAAACTTATTCTAAGATGATGTGCATGTTCATTCATAGAGAAAAGAGGCATACTGAACGAAACACTAATCCTTAGAAAAAAATGATCTTTTGCTGAATTAAGCCATATTCATTCCTTTCTGAGTCTAACTGCTCCAAATGTCTCCTCTTCTATCTGGATGTTGATTTTTCCCCCCTCATCACACATTATGAACAAATATTGTACATTTGGCTTATAGAGGTTGTTCTCTGAATTTAAAAAGCAAATTGTATTTTTATTTAATAAAAATACCGAAATAGCCAAGTTACATAGCACATGTGAACTGGATAATAATCGAGGTGTGATTTATGGAGGTTTATGACTCAAACAACAAAGTGTTCTCTGATCAGTTTTAACAAAGCACTTAATAGGCAGACAGGTTATTATCAGCTATGCCACTGACACTTAGTAGACTTTGCATTCTTTGAAGTGCCTAAGACCAATCCTGGTAGTTAATTATGTACTAAAGACTCTAGTTTTTAACTGCTTTCTTCTGAAAGGGTTGACCCCTTGCTGCCTACACAAGATCAAAGTAGTTTGACTCTTGGTCCTATGGTGACCCAACTGAACTGAAGAATCCTGTGTGTTAATGAGCAACTAGAGGGCCCTGAGTTCTGGTGAGCAGTTCAGTTTTGGGAAAAAAAAAATCCAGTTCTTTCTTTCTTGAACTGCCCATCCCCTCCTCCAACCCTCTGCTGTCCATCACTTGCGGAAAAACTTGGTCCTACTTTAGCAACTTCCCTGTCTCCTTAGTGAAGAAACAGATTTGTACACATATTACAAAGTGCCTTCCTTTGATTTTTAAAAAAAAAATTTCAATGTTTTGTAAAAAAAAAAGTATATTTATTAGAATAGAATTTCCCTTTTATGTAACTGAAAGGAGAACCAAGGAGAGGTGGGGGCCAGAAAGAAAATGACAGAATAGTCCAAGGACCAGCTAGCTGGGGTTGTTCATTGGGTTTTTATATATTGTTTAATTGTAATACCACCAAGTTGATGGGAATATAGTGTAATTTACTTCTCCTCATAAGAAATTTGGTCTGGCTATGATTTGGGCATAAACCTGCCACCTTATAATTCTACAGTCTTCACTTTGAAATCTAGCGATACCCTTTTGAATGCCAATGAACTGCCAGGGCTTGAAAAGCACAATGCACACACATTGGAACTTTGCACAGAGACTGGAAAATATTAATGACTTCTAATTACCTTTTCAACTGTTGTCAACATAGATTTTTCATTGATGAAAGCCTCACATGTACTTCACTGAACAAATTTACTTTTCTGATTCAAGCATGATAGTGTCATCAATAAAATATCATGTGCAGGTCTAAATCAAATCTCTACCACTAAACAGGCTATTGTTAACTTGAATGAGTCCTTAAAACTCTGACAACAAGTTTCCTCACCTGTTAAAAAAGTGAGTTGACCAAAAATGTTCCTAAGGCCTCTTCCAGTTCTGTCTTTAATTATCGTGATCATAAATAAAATCCAGGCTTTCAGGTCAAGGCCCATATACAGTGCAAGCAAGTGTTGCTTACATAGCCTTGACCTAAGCAGTGAACTCATGAAACAGCATGTCTGTAACAATATTTGTGAGAAAAACAAAGACATGTCCCTCCAAGTCAAACTGATTTAACTCTTCTTGCCTAGCCTTAGATGCTCAGAAGCTTTTACTTCTTCTCTTCAGGGTCTATTATTTTTCCTAACGTTCAGTAGCAAATAGAGCATCTGCAAGAAATGAAATTATTCAAAAACAATGATTTTGACCCTGCAAAGAATGAATAAAATGTTAAACCAGCAGCACATACATCCAAGCCCAAGTTGAGGGTCCCAAATACACCCCATTTAGAGATTTGCATCTTGGAGATTAGAGCCTTCTTTCATTAAGTATTAAACTAATTCTAAGGTTGTTGATAAATCCAAGCTATGCTAATGAGTAGATACTGGAGATCTTAAGAGAAACTTCAAAAATGCAGAATGATTACCACAAAGCTCGTGATTTAATCAGAAATCTCTTTACAATTACAACCTGGACTTATTCCATGATTAGCAGAGTTGGGCTTATCCCATGATTTGCAGTATATATCATCTGAAAATCAAATGTTTCTCTCCTCAGGCTTTCACTTTTCAGGATGGTGATTTTTGTTCTGGGTCCCTCACAGTATCAATATTTATGAAAGGAGAAAAATAGAAAATAGAATGTTTTCAGGGGTTTTGACCAACTCAAGATCACACAAAACAACAAGTAGCACACTAAGCACATATTTTGCTAGACATGGCAAAATCTACAATCTATTCGGTGTTCTGAGTTTATGGTGAGAAGCTGTATACATCATTCATAGCACTCTATGCCAACTTCCATCTTGTGCATAATCAGTTCTGTGATTTATGCTCTACTTTCAATTTGGAAAGCACTGAGGCTCCTAATGCAGACAAACATATTCTGCTTAATTGGTTGTTGTCAGTGAACAGGACTCTCAGATAGTCTATTAATTAACATTTTACCTGCTGCTGATTGAAATCATAAAACTAATACCTTTGACAAGTGAAGTAGCCATTTAAAAAATAACTTTTAATAGTTCTAGCCAAATTAAGCTTCAATTGGATAAACCTCAAAATGAAGTCTTAATTTTTGTGTGCACATTTTTAAATCCTGGGGCAGGGGGAGGATTTCAATTTCATCATGTTATCTAAAATCAAAAAAGTGTATGGAAAAGATACTTCTGAAAAATAATTTGTATTATAAAATTCCTGAAAACAATGTTTTTGAATTTTGAAAGTAACTACCTCCCCTTATGTCCTAACATCCTTCCTTCAAAGCTGCTCATAGTTTAGAAACAAAAAAGACTCAAGCTTTAACTTTTTTTGGCAGCATATCTGATGTATTCGCCATGTGATATTCCTGACTTCAAAGTAACCATTATATTATTTTATATTATAGTGGCTTTATGCGGTTCAAAAACAACACATACCACATTGAAATATATAATCCTCATGTTGAGAAGCTCACCATGTAATACCAATGAAAACTATTATTTAATTACTTAGAATCTATCCACATATAGTCTCTATATGATTGTGTCTATGTCTGTAAAACGAAATTGAAGAAGTATGTTATCATGTGTTTCTGTGAAAATGGTGAATGTACAAGTTTCTTTTCTTAGTCTTTGTCCAGATGTAGTGTTATATTCCCGTGTACAGCTGATCTGGGGTGTCAGATGTTTAATAATCTCCAGCAATTGTCTAAGCCAACCCCCTCAGCTTTGCTCCAAGTGGTCAGAAATGCTTCAGAGTATTATTTGCATCATGAGGCTTGTTTTTGTGCTTCACCATTCATTTTGAACAATGTAAAATCTCATGTGGAAACCAAAGTAATCTAGAACCAGCCTCCTGAGTGATTGTGTCTTCTGTAAAGCCATATTGCAGTGAAGATGGTGTAGCAGCATCAGCTTCCATGTTTTCACAGCTACCACTACCTCTGCTTTTCCTCTGTTTCTAGCAAATGCCAAGCAAAATTCTTCTACACTAAGTAGGAAATTAGAAGTGCTTGTCAGAAGAAGTCACTGGGGCTGTTATTTGTTAGAAGTTCTAACTCACCACTTAGAAGGTTTGTGCTAGGTTTTCTGAGTAGCCATTTTTATATATTTACATTTTATAACACCTAGCTGACAAATAAATTTAGAAAGGACTTACAGGAAGTCATCAGGTGAAAAACCAACACCACCAGTGAATATAGATGTATTCTTAATGATAAGTCACATCAAGATGGTTGTCCAAAGCCATGATAATAAATATCATTATTGAAAATACCCAGATCAGTGCCTGCACAAGCAGAATTTATTTGTCTTGCCTACCTTTGCTCTGTTTGTTTTTTAATGGAGATGAACAGAATAACAAGAGTATGACTGAAGCAATTTCCTTGCATACTTTTTGCCACTAAAATGTTTACAATTTGATTCTTCTAATACTCCTAGAAATAAATCTCTTCCTAATGTGATTATTTTTTAGCTGTCAAATATACTAGGCTATGGGAAAAGTCAGCTAGGAATAATCTGGTTTTGATTTTAAAAATTCATTTCTATATGTAGTTATTATAATGCCCATTTTTTTCCTTGCTAGCCTTACGGAATGATCTGATTTGTTACAGTGCATTTTCATTCTGTAAATCTTTGGTTACTGCACTTTGTGCTTTCAATTTGCCATGGGTTGATTCATTTGTCTCCTTCCATTTTGAGGGAACAACATGAATAGGTAAAATAGTATGGGAGACAATGTTCACTGCTATTATTATAACATCTTCATTCTTACTGCATGCCAAAGATAATGCTTGCCAAACAAAATCTTAGGCATCCCAATATAATACGGCTATTATAATTCTGTTCATGTCATTATTGAAAATACCCAGCTCAGCACTTGGCTCAATAAATGTTTATTTCCCTTGCCTACCCTTCCTTCATATTTTTATTTTGTTTGAAATGTAAATGAGCAGAATAATGTGTGTGGCTGAAGCAATTTTCTTGAAGGTTTTTTTGCTTCTAAAAAATTGATAATCAGGAAATTCTTTATATAAGTTGGGTCAAAATGGTTTTCCCCTTTATCCTCACCCTTCTGTATGATCACAAGACAAAATATCTTTCCTTTACCTCATGCCTTTCATCTAAGAGGCTGCTAAATATAAAGTGAGATGGAAATAGGAGCATGGGGAGCAAATAAGAGAGGCTCACTTAAATGTTGTGAAATACAAGAAGGACCAACCCAGTTTTTAGAAGTGGAATCTCTGAACAGTATGATTCATCCATATTATTAACAACATCTTTTCTGACAAAATCCATCAGAGGAACTGGGAATGAATAACCTTTTCCTTTTATTATATAGAGATCTAGAAACCATTCTTGTGCTGAGCAATGAGAATTATCTAATTATATTATCTAATGCCATGTCCTACAGAAGAATGAGAAATTTCTTTTTCAAATGAGTCTCATGCTTTAAAATTTGGCTTCAAAGAAACCCAGACCCTCCCATGCTTCTATTGGAGCCATCCACCCTTAATTCTTGGGCCTACTTGTATTTTTAAGCTGCAAAATTTGGAGTGTCAGTCACCACAGGATGGATACAATTCATGACAAGCTGGAGAAATCATATGTAGCTGATTTGCCAAAAGTATTGCATGTGATTTCCTGAAAGAAAACAGAAATTACATATTGCCACCCCTTGCCAGAATCCTATCTGAAACTTTAACTCAGACTCCCTACAATCTGCTAATCAACTTTATGTATTCTCAATGCCCTCTACTTTTTAGGGACTATGAAACAGAACTTCCATATAATAGAATCCTTGAAATCTTTGGGTGAGAGAGGAGGGTGGGAGTAGGAAGGAGTATAAACAATAGGGTTACTGAAAAGTCCCCCCTCCCCAAAGACCTTCCTGGCCAGGATGTGAAAAGAGCAATTCTTGCTGGCTTGACCTGTGAAAGCCCCTCCAAACCATGCAGATGAACTGGAACCTGTTTTTGATATCACAAAATGTATTCCATCCTGGCAGTCCTGACACCTAAGGAATTCTTCCCTCTATAGTCTCCTCCACCCATCCCACAGTACCTCAACTCTGCTGCCCATCCACACACTAGGCATTTTTCTCTAGTTATGAGTAGATTCACAATAAAACATTTGCATACAAATTGACTCGAAGCACAGATATTTTTACGAATGCGATAAAATATTTTTTTAAGAAAAGGCTAGAGAATGTCAGTCAAATAAAACATCATGTGGATGTTGGTTGGCAAACACTGGTATAAGAAATGGGAGCTCAGGAACTTTTATTACTGTATTTATAAATGTGTTTGAAAGAATTTGTTAATGCCACAGGTTTGTTTATAAGATGATACATTTGTTCCTTTTAAAGTATTAAATTACAAGAAGAGCTTAAATGACATTTGCCAGTAATTGTACTTGATGTGATCAATATTGATATTACTGCTAAACTCTGTAACTTTATGATGCATTTTTCAATCCTTTTTCAGAGCAAATGCTTTTGCAATGGTAGCAATGCTTAGTTTAAATTGACTTAATAAATTATTTCCTGAGCAACGGATTCTGGAGGATCTTTTTATATTTATATTTATATATATATATGTATATAGAATTTGTGTCATGAAAAATGTAAATTATATTATTCCTTTGCTTCAGCAAACCTTGTTATTACACATAATTTAAAAGAAGGGAAAATAGGACATTCATAGCCTTCCTGGAAATAAAACATGCAGACACATGCTAAAATATTCATCTTAGGACACTCATCCATGACATTTTCTTCAGGCGCAAGTTTTTGTGCTCATCTTTCAACACCTTCTGATTTTATTTTCCTACTAAATCTAAATCAAAACTGAATCTTGCTTCCAATTCAGTGAAATATTACATCGCCTCTCTCTACAGCCCTCATGTTTTGTCAGTCTTTTTCCATTTGACAGACTCGAGCCTTGAAGATACAAACATGCTTGCAAACACCCAGAAGTGTTATGGATCTTCTCCCGGCCACAACCAAGAACAATCAAAAGGAAAGTTTTCAGACCTGAGATCTAATTAAACTTTTCCAAAGGCAGTTGAAGCTACAAATCTCAGGGCCAAAGAGTCTTCGTTTCTTTTGTTTGCTTGTCCAAGCTAGAATTATCCATGTTTTCACTTAAACTCCAGCTGTAGCTTAGTCAATCGCTTATGATCTTTCATTTATCACATAAAACATTTCATAAGCATCTAAAAATTACTTAGGAAAACATAAGAAGGCCCATTTACCAACTTCCAAATTTCATCAATGTTAATATTTTCCTTTATCTGTTCCATACCTTTTTGTTTAGCAAGGAAACATTACAAATAAAGTAATTTACATCCCTCAATAACCAAATTTTCCACCATTTCCTTCGGTGAAAATCACAATCCTGCAGTAAGATCTGTCCTTTCTTATTTTCAAAATGCGGTTACTTCATATCTATGACTCCATCAATACTTGAGGCAAGGGTATCTGCGTACTTATGAATTTCACATAAACAAAAGCATATACCATTCTGTACCTTGAGTTTTTTCTTTTAGCACTGTTTTTCATAGAGAGATTTCCAGATTGTTATTTCTGCCTGCTGTATGCAGTTGAACACATATATACAATTTATTGATTAATATTACTGTTCTAAGTGACTGCAATGAGCATTTCCTATGCCAGTCTTAGACTGAATATGTACAAAAGTTTATCTAGAATATGCACCTAGAGGTAGAATTGTTGGGTCATATAAAATGCAGAAGTTTACATTTTCTAGATATTGACAAATTGCTCTTTCTCCTAGGTAGTTGTACCAATGTATTCCCTTGCATCAATAGTGATTGTCTCCAGTGTTATCCTTACTTAGTTTTGTCAGATGTTTTATGTGTATATAGATGTAAATATTCAACTCTAATGAATTATCACTTCACTGTTGAACATGATCCCCTTTATGCTTAATGATTCTCTTTGTCTTAATACCTGTCTTATCTGATACTAGTGCTATTAACAGCTTTCTTTTTTTTTTTAAGATTTTTATTTATTTATTTGAAAGGTAGAGTTACAGTGAGATGGAGAGACAGAGAGAAAGGTCTTCCTTCCGTTGGTTCACTCCCCAAATGGCTGCAATGGCCGGAGCTGCACCGATCCAAAGCCAGAAACCAAGAGCTTCTTCCTGGTCTCCCATGCGGGGGGAGGGACCCAAGGACTTGGGCCATCTTCTACTGCTTTCCCAGGCCACAGCAGAAAGCTGGATTGGAAGAAGAGCAGCTGGGACTAGAACCTGTGCCCATATGGGATACTGGCACCGCAGGTGGAGGATTAACCCGCTGCACCACAGTGTCAGCCCCTATTAACAGCTTTATTTTGGGGAGCAATTCTCCCATAAGTCTCTTTCGATTCACTCACTTTCCTTTTTTTTTTTTTTTTTTTTAAGATTTATTTATTTGAGAGGCAAAGTTACTGAGAGAGAAGTCTTGCATCTGCTTGTTCACTCCCCAAATGACTGCAACAGCCAGAGCTGAGCCTATCCGCAGCCAGGAGCCTTTAGCTTCTTCTGGGTCTCCCATGTGGGTGCAGAGACCCAAGCACTTGGGCCATCTTCCACTGCCTTCCCAGGCCACCAGCAGAGGACTGGATTGGAAGAGGAGCAGCTGGGACATGAACTGGCACCCATATGGGTTGCAGGCATTGCAGGCAGAGGCTTAACCTATGCCACAGCACCATCCCCCTTCATTCACTTTCGATGATCTATATCATTATGGTTTAGGTGTGTCTTTCATAAACAGCACACAGATAGGTTTTATTTTCTCTTCCTAGTTAGGAATTTTTCCTTCAGATAACTAGATCTCTTTATTTCTCATCTAATGCACTCCTCTTCATTTTTCTTTTGCAATCTGAATTGTTTAAATCCTCTAGTTTTGTAAGAATCCTATAGGAGCTGGGGCCAGTGCTGTGGCACAATGGGTAAATGCGCTGCCCTGAAGCGCTGGCATCCCACATGGACACCACTTCCAGTCCCGGCTGTTCCTCTTCCCATCCAGCTCTCTGCTGTGGCCTGGGAAAGCAGTAGAGGATGGCCCAAGTCCTTGGGCCCCTGCACCCACATGGGAGACACGGAGGAAGCTCCTGGCTCCTCGCTTCGGATAGGCACAGCTCTGGCCATTGCGGCCAATTGGGGAGTGAACCATCAGATGGAAGACCTCTCTCTCTCTGCCTTTCCTCTCTCTGCGTGTAATTCTGACTTTTCAAATAAATAAATAATTTTTTTAAAAAAAGAATCCTATAGGAGCAAATATAATTAAAGATCTTTGTCAGATAATTCCCTGTACCTGAGAGACTTCAATTTGGGGGCAACTCTTCACCTATACAAGAGCAACTCCAGTTATAGCCAAATGCTGAGGATTCCTGTGCTTCTGTGATTGGAAGAAATGAATGTGCCTTCGTTGTGACATTCAAGGAAATGAGAAATTGGAGGGCTTTTTTTTTTTTTTTGACAGGCAGAGTGGACAGTGAGAGAGAGAGAGAGAGAGAGAGAGAAAGGTCTTCCTTTGCCGTTGGTTCATCCTCCAATGGCCGCCACGGCCGGCGCGCTGTGGCCCGTGCACCGCGCTGATCCAAAGGCAGGAGCCAAGTACTTATCCTGGTCTCCCATGGGGTGCAGGGCCCAAACACTTGGGTCATCCTCCACTGCACTCCCTGGCCACAGCAAAGAGCTGGCCTGGAAGAGGGGCAACCGGGACAGAATCCAGTGCCCCCACTGGGACTAGAACCCGGTATGCTGGCGCCGCAAGGCGGAGGATTAGCCTAGTGAGCCGCGGTGCCGGCCGAGAAATTGGAGTTTTTGGACTAGCCACCAAAAGTTTTCTGGCATGCCCTCTGCCAAAAAGAGATCGATCTGAGTGTTAACTATCCTCCTTTGAAATACAAAACTTCCCCAATAAAACTGTCCATCCGTCATTGCACCACATCGATCATTGAACAATGTTTATTAAACAATTTGTGACTGGTAATGTGACACCAACGGCATGCTTTCTGGCCTCATAGGAATTGCAGGCTAATGGAAAGACTGAGGTGACTAACATGACCCAGGTATCTTTGGAATGTGACTTTGAAAACATTGTAGTAAGGGGTAGGCATTTGGCACAGCAGTGATACTGCCTGGATGCCCACATCCATATTGGAGTGCCTGCGTTAGAGTCCTAGCTACTCTGTTTCTGTAGCTTCCTGCTAATGCACACCCAGGCAGGCAGCAAGTGATGATCCAAGTACCTAAGGCTCTGCTATCCCCATGAGAAAACTGTATTGAGTTCCAGGCTCCTGGCTTCACGCTGGCCCAGCTGTGGCTGTTGGAGGCATTTAGGGAGCATGTCAATAGATAGAAGATTCTCTCTCTCTCTCTCTCTCTCTCTCTAATAAACAATAATAAGATGGATAAAAGTTTATTAAGAAGAGTAAGTTCAACAGTACCAATGAGACTTGTTCAAAGAGTCCTAGTAAACAAAAGAACTGTGAAAACATTTTTTCAAGACAATTATATTGCATGAAACTCAAAGGGTTACTGTATCTGAACCACATCTCTGTTTAGTTATTCTCTTATATACCTGCCGGTCTCTGTCTAAACACCCACCATACTCCTTTTTTTTAATCACCATTAGCTGTGAAATAGAAACCTGTAATAAATTCAGATAACTTTTGTTTTATCAGAAATCCTTCCAAAAAATTATTTCCCTTTCCTTCAATTCTACAACTCCTACATGAGTTGGGAAGGAGAAAGGATCACTGTGAAAAAGCTATTATTTACCTTCAATAACTCTTGTGGATCCTGCTTGATTATGACAGAGACCTGGGGACAAAGAGCAAAGCTCAGTTACACTCACAACCTAACTGGTAAATCCCTGGGGAACTTGTGTGCATGAGTCTTCCCTGACAATTATTAACATGATGACAAAATTTCTGTGTTTCCCCAGCTGCCAAATATTTACTCCAGGGAGAAATCCCAGTATTTCACGACCAGATCAAATACATTCTGTACCTTCAGGGTTAGCCATTGTCTGAAAAATAGAAAACTCGGAGGATGGCAAAACACTAATGCTATGGCTCTCATATTTAAAATTTGTGTATACTGGGGTATCTCATCTTTTCTGTTCTTAAATGAAAAAAAAATTATACTTCAGGTTTTCAAAACAAGAGAAGAGAGAGACTTGGAGTGGATATCTCTTAAAGTCTCATAACTCAGAAACAAAATCTGTTTAGTGGGATTTTACCTGTGAACAGAGGGCAAGATCCTGGCTTGATATTACAAGTGACAACTAGGCTAAGGGTAAAATCTGTAGTAAATCTAAGATTCCTCCTCATCCCAGTCTTAAGATTCATTGAATGCCATGGAATTCTACAGAGGTCAAAAGAAAGAACATCTTGGAGAACAGTTCTGTGCAATGCTATTTGGACCACAAATTGATGTCATCTTACTGGGGTGCATTTAAAATAGATGTGCATTTTAACCTAGGAATCCTTCTTCAAGGAGCTTATGCAAAGAGAAAAATGGTTAAGTACACAGAATTCTATGCTCTAAGATACTGAGGAAAATCTAGCTGTTAATCAATAGGGAGAGATTAAGCAAAATATATGGTGTCTTCCATTTCAGCTCCAATACAGGAAGAGCATGGGATTTGTCACTGCCATTTTTGCAATAGGAGGCCGGTGCTGTGGCGCATTGGGTTACAGAAAAGTCACTAATTTTCAGTTTTTTCAATTTCCCCAGGTTTTTTAAAGATTTGTGCATTTATTTGAAAGGCAAATCAACAGAAAGAGATAAAGAGGCAGAGAGAAATCTTCAATCTGCAGTATCCCATATTGGAGACTGGTTTGAGTCTCAGCTGCTCTGCTACCAATACACATGAGAAACCCATACTGAGTTCACCCTGGCCCAGCTGGGAAATCCTGGGGAAGCAGTAGAAGATTGCCAAAGTACTTGGGCCCTGCCACCTTTGTGGCAGACCAGGTTGGCGATCTTGGCTCCTGGCTTTGGCCAGGCCCAGCCCTGGCTGTTGTGACCATTTGGTGAGTGAACCAGAGGATAAAAGAGTTTCCCTCTCCCTCTCCCTCTCCCTCTCCCTCTCTCTCCCTCTCCCTCTCCCTCTCCCTCTCCCTCTTCCTCTCCTTCTCTCTCTCTCACCCTTCCTCCTCTTCTCCATCACTCTGCCTTTTAAATAATCAATAAATATTTTAAATAATTTATTTTTAAATAAATTAATGTATTTTTTAAATAAACAAGAGGAAGCTGAAGAGACTGAAAATCAATGACTTCTTGAACCCACCAGAGAAGCGAAGTTCCAGAGTGAATTGTGATCCTGAAATCTAGAGACAGGTGAATGCTGAGAGTCACAGCCACGGCCCGCTAAGGAGCAGAAGTCACTGGAGCTGTGACCAGTAGGAATACTGAAGCACTGATTCTGACAAATTGCTACTGGCTGAGTGCAGACCAGAATGAGTATGAGAAACTCTCTGGTTGTCACAGCCTTAGGAAGACCCCTAAGCTTTTATGAACTTTCCCTGAAAGAACATGACCAGGTTGTCATTGTGAAGACCCCCTCATTGCTCGAGTAGGGGCAGGTGAAGAATTATATATCAGAGTCTTCCTTCATCAAAGATCCATTCTCCAGGGGCAGTGACTTTTCCAGAGCCCTATCTCAACTGGGGAAAGGGCATTCTCACTCCAGATCCCTCTAGCCTTCTATCTCATCTAAGGTAGAGAAAAGATTTAAACACACACACACATTGTCAACAGAGAAAAGAACTTCAAGGATGTCGAGCCAGGAAAGGGAATAGCAGGCCGGGGTTTTATTTTTAAGTTATGCTCTCAGAGAAATACCTGTGAAGGTCACAGTCCAGAGATACAGACTCACTAAAAAGCTGAGATCTACTCATAAGAGTTCAGCTCTATAGTTAACTGTAGAATACAGATGAAAAGAGCTGTCAGATCCTGGCTCTATCTAAGCAGAGTTCTTAGGGAAGCTCAAGGACAATAAGTGATAAACCACAAAGACACTAGAGGAATTTGAATCCTCTGGAACCTACAGCTACAGCAAACACAGAAAATGCAGACCAACTCCTAGCCAGGTTAACATAAACCCTCACATTAAAGGCCAATTTGACTCAGATCCTATTCCCAGTCATCTATTCAGTTTTCATCCAAAAATTATAGAAGATGCTAAAATTATAGGGAAAAAACATGATCTGAAGAGACAAAGCAAGCACTGGAACAGTATCAGGTATGATGTGAATGTTGCAATTATCAGACAATTTTAAATAACTGATTGATATGTTAAGCACTCTAACAGAAGAAGTAGACATTGTTTAATACCACAGGAGCAATATAAGAAGAGAAACAGAGATGCTATGAAAGGATTATAGGTGTTAAAAATAGAAAACACTACAATGGAAATGAAGAAAGTTTTTAATAGGCTCATCAGAAGATTGGTTTCAACTGAGGAAGCCATCAGTGAGATTGAAGATGTGTCAATAGAAACTTTCCAAAGTGAAATGCAATGAGAAACAAACAGGAGGACCGCCATAAACTATGGGAAAACTTCAAAAGGTATTATACATCAGTAATTGAAATGCCAGAAGGGTTGTACGTTTGGCATATCAATTAACACTCCACTTGCGACACCCATGCCCCAGATCAGAGTACCTAGATTCCAGTCATGGTTGCATTTCCAATTCCAACTTCCTGCTAATGCATACCCTGAGATGCAGCAGTAATGGCTCAAACACCTGGGTTCCTCTCACCGGTGCAGGAGACCCATATTGAGTTTCCAGCTCCCAGCTTCCACCTGCCAGTACCAGCTGTTGTGAGCATTAGAGGAGTTTCAAGCATCTGCAAGATCTCTCTGTCACTGTCTTCATCAGTCTGCCTTTCAAATAAATTTAAAGTGAAAAAGACATATTAGAAAAAGAGTAGATCAGAAGAAATATTTGAAATAATAGCTGATTTGTTCTGAATGTTTGTGTACACCCAACATTCATATGTTAAATCCTAATCCCCAAGGTGATGGTGTTAGCTGGCAGGGGTCTTTGAGAGATAAATAGATCTTAAGGGTGGAGTCCTAATGAATCAGAGTAGGACACTTGGGGGAAGTTGCAGCTCTGGCTGTGTGAAGATACAAACAAGGCACCACCAGATGACTAATCCACAGGTGAACTTGTTGTTGGACTTCCCTGCCTCCAGAATTGTAAGCCTTATGGATATCTGTTGTTTATAAATTACCCAGAATAAGGTATTTTGTTATGGCAGCCCAAATGGACTAAGGCAGTAACCAAAAACTTTTCACAATTAAATAAAATATACAATGTAATATTATGAAAGAATTAGGGAAGATGACATATCTATATTTTTACATGAAAAGCTACATTTCTGATTATGGGCAGTTGATGAAATGGCATCTACTCATATACATGTATATATGTGTATGTACACAAATATACACATATAGAGAAAAATTTCTCAAAGAATTATTTCAAAAATATAATAGAATCTTAATTTTTACTTTTTTCATGATTTTCTAGGGTTTAGGGTTTTTTTTGTTTTTTGTTTGTTTGTTTGTTTGTTTTGACAGGCAGAGTGGACAGTGAGAGAGAGACAGAGAAAGGTCTTCCTTTGCCGTTGGTTCACCCTCCAATGGCCGCCGCGACTGGCGTGCTGTGGCCGGCACATCGCGCTGATCCGAAGGCAGGAGCCAGGTGCTTATCCTGGTCTCCTGTGGGGTGCAGGGCCCAAGCACTTGGGCCATCCTCCACTGCACTCCCTGGCCACAACAGAGAGCTGTCCTGGAAGAGGGGCAACCGGGACAGAATCCGGCGCCCCGACTGGGACTAGTACCCGGTGTGCCGGCACTGCAAGGCAGAGGATTACCCTAGTGAGCTGCGGCGCCGGCCTAGGGTTTAGTTGTCAGAAAAGCACCGAACTTTTCTTATTGTAATCAGGGTATTTTTTTCTCCTGGTAGAATTCAGAAGATCTAATCTCTTACTTTCCCTCCAGAACTGAGAACCTCACTCCAGGTAGCTCCTGAAGTTGGGCACCGTCACCATAACAAACTCAATGCTTACATCCCAGCAAAAATCACCAGGCAAAGAAGGCTGCATCCAGCAGCGTTCCTAAATGCAAACCCCATCACAGCCCAGCGGCTTTGAAGGGCACATGCCAGACTTTCCTCCAGGACTCAATGGGTGTTGGTGAAGGAAGTGATCAAGGTAGCTGATCCCTCTGCATGGTAGTACAGGGTAAACAGCCCCCACCCACACCTATTCTCTCGATCCCTGAGTTCCAGTTATACACTACTATGCACAGTACATTGACTCTCTGAAGCAACTGAAAACCTGCAAGACATTACTTCATATACAGTTGTATATGAAGCAGTTGTCTATGGACATAGGAGTTAGTGTGAGGCAGGAATGATAAATGGAATTTAAGACACTAACTTCTCTGCTCTCAATCCCTTGCCTCATTCCAGCACCTAAGAGGATCCACATCTGTCCAGAGCCTTCCCTTGCTATTTAGTATCCTCTTCTCTGTCCTCTTGGAATGCCCACCCCTTCCCAATTGTTGCCTCTTCTATCCTGAGGACCCCCTAAATGGATCTAATTGTTCATTCACTTCATGCGTATCTTCCTTCTCACTCTCTTATGCATATCACTTACTTCTCAACTCTGATCCTCTCAAAGATATCTGATCCCTCATCCACACCCACTACCACCCACCTGCAGGGAGACACACTCCCTGATGAGACTCCCTGTAGCACAAGACTAACAAAGCTAATCCAGGTGGCTGTCACCATGTCTGCCTCTTCTCTCTCACTCTCTCTCCCCTCCTTCCCTCTCCTCTCCCCCACCTTTCCTTTCTCTCCCCCTTTGAAGCATTGTTGCAATCAGAGGCAGGCTCTGGGACATGTCCAAGGTTACTGGCAGTCACCAGTACAGGACTCCTCATCTAGAGGCTTACCCCACCTCCTCATCTCAGAGTCCAGCCGGTCAGTGAGCAGTGGGATCCCGCCTCCAACCTGCATCTGTGGAGCTTTGCTTTCTGCCCAGGAGAGATGACTCTATACTGGAGACATTTGCAAAGAGCCTTGCGCCAGGAGGCCTCCTTTCCCAGGATCCCCAAGACATGCCCTGTCTTGAGCCGTGAGTAGAAACTGGGGGGACATGGGACAGCAGAGGGTTGGCCTAAACAGTGATAGGGGACACTTTTCCACCCCCTTCATGATCAGTTCGTCTTCATTTGCTCCTCGTCTTTCCTGTTTCTCCCTCATTCCTTCTCTCTTACTTGCTTTCCCTCCATCCTCCACCACAATTATGATTTTGTAAAACTTAAGATATGCCTGATACCTTAAATGCATCATTGCTTCATCTTCAACTAAACTTGGGAGTACTATATCCCACTGCACAGACAAGGAGGCAGGAGAACAAAGAATGATTAAGAAATACAAAGGCAGAAACCTGTGTGACAACTTGGGATTCAAAGCCAGGTTCAAATTGAAAGGGGGCCCACCAGGTCCTATTCTACCCAAACCTGTTTGTATTTCTTTTTTCCCTCAGTTGTGGGTTTTTTGCCAGAACATCACTAAATGCCAACTTTTTCTGAGAAAGAGATAGAATTATATCCAGTCTTATGCAGAGTAAAAAGATTATTCTGAAAGTAACAGTTGCTGACAAAATTGCTGGTGATAGCAAGTGACCCAGAAATGGCAGGTGAAGCTTGATATTTACAGATCTTGATGAGCTCAGAGAAGATTCTTTATTGTAGTTCCAACAAGGATACTACAGAGGAGAAGGAATCTTTCACACTCATTTCACTTAGACATGAATGCCACACCCCTCTCCTGGACTTCAAAAACATGGAAGCCTTTTATTTCTACTTTCTTATTTCCTATCCCTAGGAATATGTCTACTTGTGTTTGTACTTCCTGCCATCCATTCAATGAATACACACTTCTAGACCTCAGGCTTTCTGCAAAATATACCTTCAAAGTAGTTGAGTACCACTTAGCTGCAGATAGAGCCACAGTGAGCAAGACCAAGCCCCTAGCCTTGTGTTTTCCAGCTGTGTGAAAGAGAAACAAGTATAAACAAATAAACAAAGAGACAGATATCTATAAAGGTAGATGCTAATAATAAAATCTAATCAGGATGAGGGGATAGAAAAATAAAATGGGAGAGTGAAAGACAGGAGTTGGGGTAGGTAGGGAGCTCACCATGTTTTAATTGTTATCAGGAAAGTGAAAATAAAGTCACAACCCCATGTAACACTTACATATTTATTGTATGACATTGGTATGCAGAAGTTATAAAATATGCTTGCTATGCATAATCACTTTCGGCTAAAGATGGATTCAAAGCCATAAACGCAATTTGTTTTCAGCATAAAGGGTAGAGAAAATGTCTCAGTGGTATTTTATTTCTTACTAATTGGTTAATAATTAGCTTTACACCATTCCCAGGGAGGTAAGGTATGTGCCCCATTGTACCAGGTTCCTTCTCTCACACAAAAACAGGGGTTCACAGGAAGGTAAATGGATGATAAGTAATACTCATTTCCAACTGAGAGATTTCCCAAGACTTCAGCAAAACCTTTTCTAAGAAAACATTTAAAATTAGCCCAAAAGGGAGGCCTCCTACCTGCACCCCATTGCTCTGTAGAAGAACTGACTTTATGCATGCTAAGGGCCAGGAGGGGTGATCTCAGAGAAGACCTATTCCCAAATGTGTCAAAAGGAATAATCACAGGCGAGCTCTTGCTTGGAACAATGCCAGCTGCCTCTGAGAGAGAAAAAAAAAAAAAGAGAGAGTATCTACTGGAAGGATGTGGAGGTTTGATAGGAGAATGAGAAAATCAACTGGAGGATGAGGAGCAGTCACTTCTGGAAGAACAGCCTGGAAATGGCTTTACTGTTGGAAGGCAGACACCTGGCATGCACCATCCTTTGCTCAGATTTCACACAGTGGAGCAGAGATGATTTCCACAGAGAAGCAGGGGCTCAGAGTAGGAAAAGTGCCTTCTGCAACTTCACGCCATAGTGGGACATTTCATGCAAGGCAAAGGACCCACTCTCCAGGGCAGCTCCATGGCAGAGGGCGCCCATGAGAACAATGGGTCCCCACCACCCACCCCTGCCATGAGGAACATATTAACAGATGGGCACAAAGCTATAGTTCAGTAGGAGAAAGAAGTTCTGGTGTTTGCACATAACAATAAAATCTTGTGTAGATTTTTCTAAAAGCTGGAAGAAAGAATTTTTTAATGGTTTCACCACAAAAAGATGATAAACACTTGAGGAGATAAATTCACCCTGATTTGAACACTACACAATGGATGCACATATGGAGACATCACATGGTACCCCCACAAATATATGTAATTTTTATGTATCAGTTACAATTTTAAAATCAAAAAAGAAATTTCATCCCAACCAACCACAGCCCCACACACTTCCAGACTCCAACAAAGGTGTGTCTCAAACCTTCAGTGCCATGAAAGGCTCTCAAAACTGCCAAGGCTCCCTGTTGAACCTGTCACTGCCTGGGCTGCAAGGTGGTAGATAATAAAATCCTCCTTCCCTAACTTATTGGCTATTCTAACTATCAAATGAGATACCAAATGGGACAAGATGCTATATAGAAACTGACATAATTAGCATTTTAATAAACTGTACCGGGCCCACTGAGTGTCTTTCAGTATCCTATAACTTCTTTTTTTATTTGAAAAGGTAATAAAACCTTGATAAACGCTCCCCATGGGTTGAAAACTGTCTGCAGATGTCAGAAAAGTTTTTATCATCACAAAGAGAATTTTCCTTAAGATTTCCAGATGCCTGGAAAAAAATGTTTTCTCTCACTAACCTTGCCCAGTAAGTTTTCTCTGTTTGATACTGGAATTTTGGGGAAAGAAAACAAAGTTAAGGACTTAACTGTCTCCTACAGAACTGTAGGAATTTGTTGATTAATTTGTTGATTAAGTGGCGTGGTATGACATCAATAGATTTTTGTTTTTAGTTATTATCTGCATTTACTTCACTTATTAACTATTTCTTTTCCTGACTGTCGTGCTTGCTGTTTGTCTCCCTTCCTTCCTGTTCTCCTTCCCTCTTTCCCCCATCTCTCTGTCAATTCTCTCTTCCATTCCTCCATCCTTCCTTTTTTCCTTCTTTCCTTTGGGCAAGACTTCATGATTTCATTTGGAATCCTTCTTATATGTTTATAATTTTGGTAAATGAATGAATGAATTAACTTGCCTTAACATTGAAAATTCTTGCTTTTTTATCAAGTCCTTCTCTCCAGTTCTCTTCCCACTCTAGCCTACTTTCATAATCCCATAACCTTGGAGTCAGAAATACTTAAAATCTCCTCAATGGACAACTCTAATTTTGTAGATAGGAAAATGAGACTGATGGAGTAAGTTATTTTTAATTCTTAGAAACACTCAGAATATCTTTTTCCATCTTGGAAGCGTAACTAATGCAGAGAGACACAATGAAAAGCTTTTCAAAAGGGGAAATTCTCAGAAAAGTAAGCTATCTTTTTTTGTCATTTCTATGCCTTGGGTAACCAGCAAACACTCACTTTTAAAGTAAGAGCAAATTAATGACATTAGTGATTATTTACAGCAAAAAAAAATGAATGGGATCTCTTTAAAAATATATTCAGTGCTGTTATTTCCCGCTGCTTTTAAAAATATAATTTTCATTGTATTTTTCAAGACTGTGACTTCAAAACTGCACAAAACACCAACATTTCACCCATGCATTCAAACCTTCAGGCTGAATAGAGACATCATTTCCTCAGCTCTCTCCACCTGTAGAATTATCTTGATATTGGCCTTGAATCTTAAAAATTAGGAGCATTCTTCTCCAAAAGTACTTATAAGGTCTCGAGACCCCTCTTCCAGCTGTGGTATTCTCTGATTCCATTACCCTATCTCACTGCCATAAGTGGCAAGACTCATGCTGGCAGCATAGGGAACATGGACAGCAAATGAACAAAAAAGAGGATGAGGTGAGGAATCAGAAACTTGGAGTCTCAATATTGTTCTTTAGCTAACTAGCTTGGTGACCCTAAACAAATTAATTTACCATTTTAGGTTCATCTATATGATGAGCATTTTGACACCCAACACCCAACAAAACCAAAGGTTTCCCCTACCTCCAAACAAATATTTAGTCCATGGCTCAGTTTCTCTCTATTTTTCATGGTCATATGGTATTAGTCTTTGTTTGGGAGGGTTTGTCTTCCAAATGTATTCATATGTATCTGTTAATGTACCACATTGCCCAATACCTAAACTTCCTCATTCCCTACCAGAATGGTCAACAGCCATTAATTCCATGTTACTAAGAGCCAACCAGGTACCAGCCAATATACAGGCAATTATATAGGCAGCTCCAAGTCTAGACAGCTCCTCTAATGAATGGATTCCAGCCACACACTGCATTGGCAGGTTTGTCAACTGAAGAAAGAATTGCCATCCCTTTAGGTGAGGATTCAGCCTGAAATGAGCTTCCTATGCTTGTGATGAACTGCCATGCAAAAAAATCATAGCTCCCCCAGCACCCTCCATTATTCCAGACTTAATTCAAGAACAATCCTTTTTTCCTCCAGCAAATTTATTATTGAGATAGCAGTACTTCAGTTTTTAAATGCAAACTGAGCCCTGATTAAAATGATTCTTTTAAACTAGAAATAAAATTGCCTAGGCACCCTGATTTAGTGAACTATAGGTGATTGCCATTAACTAAAAATCTCAATCCACTTCATTTTCAGTAGGTGCTTCCTGGACATCTGTAGCCAAGCTCAGTCTTCATACAAAACCCAAAATGCCTCCATGTGACTTCTCACCTGAAAGGTATCAGGTAAGATTTAGGGCTTCTGGAAAACCCAAGGAGGTGATTCCTCTTGAGACATCTCAGTTATTCCCTTAAAAAGAAACCACAAGAGTCCTTGATTTCAACTAAGCTATCCTATCCCAGGTATTCTATCCTTCAAGTCCCTGGGAGCATCTGAAACATTCTTGCTCTATTTAAGACTAGTATGTAGATTGGTGTACATGTGTTAGACAGAGTGCATGAAAGAGACTATACAGGACATAGGTATTCAGGGAGATACGCACATGTCACAAATGTGATGGCACATGTTTTCTTTAAAAAGTATTGTTCCCACATTCACTTATTATTTCCCACTTTTGACATCGCATGAAAGCAAATACAAATTTGCCTTATGTTCAAATTGCTTTCTAATATATTAGATGCAATTAAAATATAATAATTTAAAACAAATGTATTGCAGAAACAATGCATTGGCTCTTTTGATGCATAGCTCTTCATATATTTAGGAATTCTAAACTATCTCAGAATGAAGGTTGCTGTTTATTTCAGTTTTCTGTGAGGGATTTTACATACTAATTGTTAGATTTATTCTTGTGTATTTGATTCTATGTTTTATAAAATATACAAATCAGATTTACATTTTATTTCATATATTCTTTTGTAATATTTCTGATCTATAGGGGAACAATTAGTTTATAATTTTTAAAAATCTGGTACCCTAGTATGCTTTCATATTAATTCTAATAATTCAGGATCACCTCTGCTGAATTAACTACATAAAATTGTATATCTTGCAAAAAAGACAACACTCCACTTATTTTTTAATACCCTTTTTGTTTTCTAGTGCTCAAACCCATATTAAGCCATTCCTATTCTTTTTCATTGCCTTATTGCACAAATTAGGAATTATAGAGTAATATTTTGTTATATTGACAATGAACATTCTTGTCATCATAAGTGTTTTGATTTTTCAATAAATATTATTGCTAACCATGTTGGAAAGATTTTCTCAGTTATGTTTTTCTGTACATCAATACAATTCTAATTAAAATCTTAGCAGGATGGAAAAAATAAATTATTGTTCCCATTTGACTAACTGATATGGCCTTGCATAATCTGACCTGTCTGAGACCTCCAACAAAAACCATAAAGTTATCTTTTTGCAATCAGGTTAATAAATATTTGGCAAGCTTCCTTTCTCTCTGTCTCTCTCTCTCTCTCACTGTCTAACTCTATCTGTCAAATTAATAAAAATTTTAAAAAATTAAAAAACAAAATAAAATAGAAGCCGGCGCCGTGGCTTACTTGGTTAATCCTCCACCTGTGGCACCAGCATCCCATATGGGCTCCAGGTTCTAGTCCCGGCTGCTCCTCTTCCAGTCCAGCTCTCTGCTGTGGCCCAGGAGTGCAGTAGAGGATGGCCCAAGGGCTTGGGCCCCTGCATGGGAGACCAGGAGGAAGCACCTGGCTCCTGGCTTCGGATCAGCGTAGCTCTGGCCCTAGTGGCCATCTGGGGAGTGAACCAATGGAAGGAAGACTTTTCTCTCTTTCTCTCTCTCTTACTGTCTAACTCTATCTGTCAAATAAATAAAATTAAAAAAAAAAAAGATTTGGCAAGCTTTTTCTCTCTTTCTCTGTCTCTCTGTCTCTCTCTCACACACACACACATCCTTCTCTCCAACTCCCATATTCCACATAAAACTTAAGAGGTTAGAAATTGTGGAATGAATAGATAAACTGGGTAGACCCCCCCAAAAAAATAGAAACATGGGAGAGAGATTTTATAATTAAAAATATTAATAGGGCCGGCGCTATGGAGCAGTGGGTTAATCCTCTGCCTGCGGCGCCAGCTTCCCATATAGGCGCCGGTTCTAGTCCCAGTTGCTCCTCTTCCAATCCAGCTCTCTGCTGTGGCCTGGGAAGGCAGTGGAGGATGGCCCAAGTGCTTGGGCCCCTGCACCCGCCTAGGAGACCAGGAAGAAGCTCCTGGCTTAAGATTGGCAAAGCTCCATATGTTGTGGCCAATTGGGGAGTGAACCAATGGAGGGAAGATCTTTCTGTCTCTCTCTCTCTCACTGTCTGTAACTCTACCTGTCAGATAAATAAATAAAAATCTTTAAAAAAAAAATTAATAGCATCAGCACTTCAATTTTTTTTTATTTTCGAAAGAAACCCAAAGTGGGATGAGTATTTGGTGCAGCAGTTAAAAGTCAATACTTGGGACACCCACATTCCATATTGGATTGCCTGACTTGAGTCCTAGTTTCTGTGCTTCTAATCCAGCTTCCTGGTAGTGTACATCCTTGGAGGCAGAAGATGATGGCTCAAGTACTTAGGTTTGGGCCACCCAAGTGGAAGACCTGGTCAGAGATCCAGGTTCTTTAATAAGACCTGGCCCCATCCCAACTGTTGTAGGCATTTGGAGAGTGAATTAGTGGATGGAAGATATCTCTCTCCCTCTCCCCCTCCCTCTCCTTCTCCCTCTCCCTTTTCCCCTCCCCCCTTCAAATAAACTGAAATAAAAACTACAGCAATGAAAATGACATTAATTGGGACTTTATTTTCAGAGTCCATTTTTACCCATAGCTAAAATCAACGCAAAGCCAATGCTTCTATTGAGAGGTGGAAATCCCAGCTTCTATTTTCATATTTGGCCTTGGAAGGGATTGAAAGGCTGCAAATAACTTCCTTACTTAAGAGGAAGGGCTATAATTTCTTGTCAGGTAGCCATCGTGAGCTCTCTGTTCAGTTCACCTGATAAACTCAGCCCTAGTGTATATAGACTGCTGTTGATCTGGTAAGAAATGTGGATAAAAGGAAAGAGTTCTAATCTTGTCCTTTTTCAGTCCCTTGCCTACAACCATGTCCTGGATATCCACAAGCAACATCTTTCTCCCGTGATGACAGCATATTTCCAGAAGCCCTTACTGCTCCACCAGGGGCACATGGAGTGGCTATTTGATTCTGAGGGAAATAGATACCTCGATTTCTTTTCTGGGATTGTCACTGTCAGTGTTGGTCACTGCCATCCGTGAGTATCCTTAAAATCTAAGAGTTTTCTGTCCCAACATATGGAAATTAATCACGTTTGTGAGTTAACTCTTGATTCACCTACTCTCATTTAAAATATCTATTACATGGGAAGGCATTGGAAATAGTGCATAAAACACTGGTTGGGATACCCACATCCCACATTGGAGTAGCTAGGTTTGGTACTCCAACCAGCTCCTGATCCAGCTTCCTACTAATACTGACCCTGAGAGGGAGTGGTGATTGCTCAAGTAAGTGAGTTTCTGCCACTCATGTGGGAGACCTGGCTTGAGTTGCTGGCTCCTAGTTTTGGCCTGGCCCAGCTCTAGCCATTTCAGATGTTTGGGGAGTGACTGGGGAGTTAATCAAATAATGAGAGGTCTCTCTCTCTCTCTCTCTCTCTCTCTCTCTCTCTCTGCCTCTCTAATTAATCAATGAATTTAAAAATATATCTATTAAAGATTGTAGCTGACATATATCCACATACTTTCCATATCCTTTCTTGGATAAAAAATATTGCTGATTTTTTTCATTTTCTTCTGTTTTTGACAATACAAGATTTTATCATAGTTGTTCCACATGCAATGTGACACTACCATGTAATTGGGGTATTTCTGTGTGTGTTTATCACTAATATAACTTTTCCAAATAAGGGATGCACTGAGGAAAAGGCAGGAAAGAAGAGAAAGGCAGGTGGTTCTCAGAGAAATGTGGGTACAGGTGTATGTGGCAAAGGATGACAAGAAATGAGAAATAACATCTAGCCTGAGAATGTTCTTCATAGACACCAAGAGATGGATGAAGAAAGACAGGATGATGTGAGACAAATATAATCCTTGCTAGAAATGTACTTGGCAACATATGGACCAATTAATCTCAAGATTGTTCACAACATTGATCATCAATTTCACCCAAATGCCCTTGGCAGGTTCTTTGTGGCCCTTCTGGTTTCTGTGCAGCCATCTTATTTTAATGCCTAATTTTGTCCTGCCTTTAATAACCTGACCAATGAAACTCACACGAAGTGGGGAAAAAGCAAAGTAGCAGGGCTGTTCAATATTTGGGCCCGTCTGTCAAAGCAAGTGGCGACAGGTCTTGCCCTCAAGCAGCTATCAGGAGAAGAGTAAGTTGTGCCTTTGAGCCCAGCACCCAGCATCTCCTAGCATTACCTTCTTCCTATTCTGTCTTCAAGAATCACCAATCCCATGCAAGTTCCCAAGAAATATCCAAAATAAATTTTAGATGCAATTTTTAAATATTTATTTATTTATTTGAAAGGCAGAGTTACAGAGAGGCAGAGGCAAAGAGAGAGAGAGGTCTTCCATGCGCTGGTTCACTCCCCAGATAGCCACAATGGCCAGAGCTGGGCTGATCCGAAGCCAGGAGCCAGGAGCTTCTTCCAGGTCTCCCATGCGGGTGCGAGGGCCCAAAGATTTGGGCCATCTTCTACTGCTTTCCCAGGCCATAGCAGAGAGCTGGATCGAAGTGCAGCACCCAAGACTCGAACCAGCACCCATATGGAATTCCAGCACTGCAAGCAGCGGCTTTACCTGCTACGCCACAGCGCCGGTCCTATAGATGCAATTTAAAACATGCGGCAAGCATATGTGAAATAAGTGGAGAATCATGAAGGAGAGAACCAATGGAAAGATGCTTGTTGCTTCCTCCTAGTGACATTTGACACTGCCCCTTATAATCCACTGCTCTCATTGGCTTTAACCACCTTTGTGTTTTTTCTGGTCTCTGTCTGACCCATAACCTTAGGTGTCTCCAGCTCTTTCTTTAGCCCCTCTGTTCTCTCTCTACTCCTTTTCTTGCTTATTAATTCCCATCCTAGGGTTAGTCCCACCCTGTCTTCCCACCACTGCTCATTGAGTTACTACATTTCCAACAAGCTTACCCAACTCTTGGCCCCTCGCTAAGCTGCAATAACAACTTTAACAGGCCCAGAGTGTCCAACCAGATGCCCCATATTTTCCACTGCCAATAGGACACCTCCTATCCCATGATATTCCAGCCTCAGCTCAAACTCAACATTTCCAAGACTGAATCCATCATCGCCACAAAACTGTCTCTACTAACTTACTCACTGATTCATGAAGCAAATGGAAGCTACCTACTCTGGAAGAGTCCTCTGTGAAGGGCAGGGGAGCTACACAGCTAGCTGTATCTCTCAAGTAATCCTGGCCTTTCCCCAGCATTCCAGGCAAGGATGTTGGAACCATCTCTGACTCTTTGCCTTTCATTACCACGGCCAACCTGATAACAAGGTCTAGTTTCCCCTGCACTGAAATGCCTGTTCTACTGGCCCTTCTCTCACTAATTCCAACCAAAACTAGTGTTCCATGAGCTCCTCTCCCACACCTGGATGTCCACCTTGCCCACATACCTGATGACAACACCAGTCGTGCCCTTCCATCCTATCCTTTACTGGCTCTCAGCTTTATTTTGCTAAAACAATGCTTTGCCAAAGGGTCTCTTCTATTCAAGAGTTCACTGATTCTCCACAGTTTCCTAAAGTGAAATTCATGGAACACTGGTCACAGGAGAGGTTCCACAGAAAGGGGTCCCAGAGAAAAATAAGTTTGGGAAATACTTTAAACATTATCTCCTTCCTACAGAGAACTAGTTTACTGGCCTATTAAAAGTACTAACAGTCTTGCAGTCAAAAAGTCTGTTTGATGTATTATTTCTTGAAACTATTCAACCTCTAAACTAATGTGTATGTGTGTGAGACAGATATTAATTACAAACAAAATGCTAGTGAAACAAACTTTCACAATATCTGTCCTTTAGTTCAAGTTCAAACACATTAGCCTGTCTTTTCAAGGCCTCCCTAGTCAGGTCCCACATGTCTACCCACCCTTGGTTCCTACTATCCTGCAGTGCGAACATTCTGATCCTAAGGTTGAGTTGGTCTTTCAAAGAATGTGGTTTCACAGTTTACAAGACGTTCTGCTCAGAAAAGAGCTCACACCCAGATACTTGCATCTTCTTTTATGGAAAAACTGTTAGTCTTGTACACATGTGCTTCATGAATTCACAATTCTTCAGAAAAATAAAATGGGAAGATACTCAGGCTCACATAAATCATCTCTATTTTCCAAATTGCTCAAAGGATGGTCAATAAGAAACATAGATAGAAATTCTAGGCTGGAATTCCTCCTACACTGGAATTTCTTCTCTAAAATGATTAACTCTCATTGAGTCTCCCTTTGAACCTGCTCTACTAAGGAATTCACTGCCTTTTGAAGCAACAAACCCCATTGCCAGACGGTTCTAGTGTAAGAGTTCTGTCTCATGTTTGGATGAAATCTGCTTCTTGAAACTCTTAAGAAAAAGCTGTATGTCTGAGTTCAGTGGCTGGCGTGTGTGTTGAGGGGTATGTCTATCGGCAAGTTGGGTAACTCTGTTCTCTTGTTTACCCAGGAAGGTAAATGCAGTGGCACAAACGCAGCTAAGCCGCCTGTGGCACACAAGTAGTGTCTTCTTCCACCCTCCAATGCATGAATATGCAGAGAAGCTCTCAGCTCTTCTGCCTGAGCCTCTTAAGGTAAAATGCTCCCAGCTCCCAGAAACAGGAGTCTCCTGATCCCAAGGAAGCTACCACAGGAAGCAGGAATATGAACAGGGAATTGCATCCATGCAGCAAACACCTGTTACAGTGAATTGATAACCTTGTCTGGAAGCAATTCAGCAGCAGGAAGGAGTTTGTGAATTGCTGATGGTACAAACCAATGTCTGAGCCTCATTTCTTCTTGATTGCTCTTCTGAGTCCTTGCAGAAATTACTTCCAGGAGCCCCAGTCCTCCTGACACTCTCAAGAGATTTTCATTTCTTTGCTCCACATCCATTCTTCAAAGTCATTTGCGTTTCTTCTTTGTAAAAGAATGGAGCCAATTTTTTTTTTTTTTTTTTGACAGGCAGAGTGGACAGTGAGAGAGAGAGACAGAGAGAAAGGTCTTCCCTTGCCGTTGTTCACCCTCCAATGGCTGCCGCGGCCGGCGCACCACGCTGATCCAATGGCAGGAGCCAGGTACTTCTCCTGGTCTCCCATGGGGTGCAGGGCTCAAGCACTTGGGCCATCCTCCACTGCACTCCCTGGCCACAACAGAGAGCTGGCCTGGAAGAGGGGCAACCGGGACAGAATCCGGCACCCCAACCGGGACTAGAAATCGGTGTGCCGGCGCCGCAAGGCGGAGGATTAGCCTAGTGAGCCATGGCGCCGGCCGAATGGAGCCAATTTTTATAAATGCCATTCAGGTTACTTGATCAAAAATGCACTTAGATATTTTTGCTAAGTGAGATATTTTTCTACATCTAAAAGACAACTTTTAGACTGAACCGAGATGTTAAAATGTTTGCCAAGATTTGCACATTGGCATTAAATGAGTTCATATTCATGAATCACTTAGAATAGTGCTCAATGTTTGGTGTTAGCTGTTATTGTTTTAGTATATAAATAAATTTATCTTTTAATTCCATTTCCCCACAAACTTTTTAAGTACCTTTGTATTATCTGTATCATCTAGATGCTCTACTTACCATATTATCTAGAATAGATGAAGAGAATTGGAAGAGCTGCAACTTAAGCTCAGCCCCAGATGTTCATGGAAGACCTGAAGCAGGGAAGTTCACAGGGGCACCAACACGTTCCTCCCAGTCACAAGTCCAGAGGACCCAGTTCCCTTCAGTTTTCTCCATTCTTCTGTACAAGCTGATCTTCATATTTTGCTTGCTTGTTTGATTGTTCAACATAGCACTGTTGGGCTGGGCCAACCACAGGGGTTGCAGGGTTGGGGTACCTGCCTCGTTCAAAGCCTTCAGAATTAGGTAGGGTAACTTGGGTTCAGAAGATAACAGACTTGATCCTCAGATTCACCTGACCACTAATCTACTTTATGACCCTTGGCAAGTCTCCCCATCTTAGCATTTTACAAATCACCAAACAGAGTCAATGTTTCACAGCTAAGAAAATCTCTTAGCCTTTTTTTATGTCTAGCATTTTACAGCAACTCAATGAAAGGCTGCAGAATTAACACAGTTAAATGATGAGACTGCTAAGTACCCAAGCTGGTCTGAAAAACACTCTTCTTAATCTTCAGAGGGTAGGGAATATGGTCATTAGCTATGTGGAGTGAATTGGATAATAAGGAACTCAAAGTACAGGGCAATGTGTCTTTTCCCTCCAGGTCATCTTCATAGTGAATAGCGGCTCCGAAGCCAATGACCTGGCCATGCTGATGGCCAGAGCACATACGAAAAACACAGACCTCATATCTTTCAGGTAATAACACCTCGGAATATTCACCTTCAGTTACATGGATGAACCCTGTACCAAATCTATGTTTTTCAATTGTAGCATGAAAGGAATGATTGCCCCAGTAGTATTTTTCTGATGTAACTTTTATAGTAAGATCAGTTAAGTAAATTTGGTGACTGGATAACCCCATCCAAAATGGCCTGAGTCAAAAGCATGGAGCCCTCATTAGGCCATAGATTCATCCAAGGAATTAAAGATAAAGTCATGTGACAGCAACATACACCAAATGGCAAATGAATGTTTTATACCCATAGAAGTTCAAGGATCTACACCGAGCCCATTTTAATTTCTGAATGTGATAAAGAGTCATGCATTCATCTCATAGTGCCAGCTACTTGTCATTTTCAGCTTTCATTCTAGGTTCATAAGATAAAAATATAATTCTATATATTTCTGCTTTGAGTGACTTTTGAAAATCAATTGATTTCATACATTGGAGCTGACCCTCCTTATCCATGGGTTCTTCATCCATAGGTTCCTGCTCAACCAACAAAGTGTAGATCAAAAATATTCAGAAAAAAAGTGCATATGTACTAAATATGCATACTTTTTTCTTGTCATTATGCTCTAAACAATACAGTTTTTCAACTATTCACATAGGATTTACATTGTTTTAGGTATTATAAATAATAAAGATATTATTTAAACCACACAGGAGCATATACATTGGATATATGCCAATGCTGCCATCTTATATAAGGGATTTGTGCATCTGAGGATTTTGGTATCTGCAGGGGGTCCTGGAATGAATCCCCTGGATACAGAGAAACAACTGTAATTATAAACCCTTGAGGACAATTTTAGCATTGAAAATAACACAGAAAGGAATTGTAGATAATTGAATGTTATTGAAAATAATACAAAATCAAGAATTTTGTTCAGTTTACTCCCTTATAAAATTTTGTACAGCACATTTAAGCAGATTCTTTTTTCTTTTCAACTTTCATTTAATAAATATAAATTTCCAAAGTACAATTTTTGAGTTATAGCAGCTTTTCCCCCCATAACCTCCCTCCCACCTGCAACCATCCCATCTCCCACTCCCTCTCCCACCCCATTCTTCATCATAATTCATTTTCAATTATATTTATATACAGAAGATCAACTTAGTATATACTAAGTAAAGATTTCAACAGACTGCACCCATAAAGACACGCAAAGTATAGAGTACTGTTTGAGTAGTAGTTTTACCATTAATTCTCATAGTACAACACATTAAGGGCAGAGCTCCTACATGGGGAGTAGGTGCACAGTGACTCCCGTTGTTGAACAATTGACACTCTTATTTATGACGTAAGTGATCACCCGAGGCTCTTGTCATGAGCTGCCAAGGCTATGGAAGCCTCCTGAGTTCATCCACTCCGATGTTATTTAGACAAATCCATATATTCAAAGTGGAAGTTCTCTCCTCCCTTCAGAGAAAGGTACTGCCTTCTTTGACAGCCTTAAACAGATTCTTTCAAGGTTTATATAAAAGGAATAATGGATAGTGAAAGTCAGTGGAATGAAGAAATGTCCTATTTTATACTCATTTATGTAAATATGAGCATGCAATTATCACAGACATAAAGAACTATGTGCCATAAAAGAAATAAAGAAATAACTAATTGATATATGTTTTACCTAGATAACTTTCCACAATATGTATGCCAGGATAAGTACCGTTCTATTAAACAGTAATGCTACTTGCTGTGGTTTGAACATGATTTGGCTCCTCAACTCATGCAGAACTTTAGACCTCAGAGTCATTAGTTAATGATACTAAGAGGAGGAAACTTAACCCAATCTTTTGACGTTAAGGAAATGAGTCTAGTAGAAAGTCCTTAGGTCATTGGGTGCATGCCCTCAGCAGGTGATTCTCACGAAGCCTAGTTTTAAAGCCACATTGGGTCCAGTCACTCTCTCTGCTTCTTGCCTCTCCATAGGATAGTTCCTCTGCCCTTCTCATTTGCTGCCTTCACCAAAGGACAAACCAATGAGATTACCAAACTGGGACTTGAACCAAAACTATGAATCAAAATAATAAGAAATAAAAATAAATTTTTGTCATTATAATGGCAAAAAAACATACAGTACTACCAGGATTCAACACATGTGGATTTCCTTCTTTTATGATCATTCTTTTTTACAGTCTATATAATCCTAAACCCTTACTTCAGGGTGATTTTGATCTGAGAAATTGCCAAAACTCATTTGACCATTGATAAGGATAATCTATATTAAATATGACTGCTTTAGGTTCTAAAGAAATAAAACCTGTGTGTCTTAAATGCCAAATAACGTGACTAATAGGTACATAAGAGGAATTCCCGAAGACGTTGGCCAATGGCTTCATCACAGGAGCAGATGTTTGGTTCCCAAGGTAACTACTGTCACCTTTGAAGACTAGCTCTCCTCGTCAAGCACATAACTTCTACCAGGTTGCTAAAAAAACATTTCTCATTAGTTTAGAGTAATGGGATAGAAGAACACTCCTAAAGTCAGAGTTCTTGGATAGATGGCCTCTAAAACTCCTTTCACAGTTTAAAATCTATGACTCGAAAAAATAAAGGAGTACATTCACCTGACATAGACTTAGAACAGTTCTTAGAAGTCATCAGAGTTGAAGTTTAGTGACATTGTGTTTCTTCTCCTTAGCCTTCATAGGTTTTTTCCTTCCGTCCTACTCAGTGTTCTACAGGCCAGTGACCAAAGGAAATGAACTTCACCTCATCCTGCTGTTGTTTTCTCTGCAGAGGAGCCTACCATGGATGCAGCCCTTATACATTGGGCTTGACCAATGTAGGGAACTACAAGACTAAACTGCCCATTGCAATGGGTTGCCAACCAGTGAGTTTTGAGATTTTGTGTTATTTCTATGAAGACTGGTGAGTATGTGAAATAGTTGATAAAATTTTCCTGATGTTATGAGTATGACCTATTACAAAGCCTGTAATTAATCAGGGGCTTCATTTGACTTCATGGACTTGAAGGTCATTTGGGGGAAAGCTTTTTGGGAAAGACTTTCAAAATCTGAATAATAATTAATGATAGATTTTTAAGTCAATTTTGCTCTTAAATAAAAATCAAGGAAACCATGAGGCTCTGAGACCCTTGAATGTACAAAATTTCCCTGCCAGTCATAGCTACCCACCTGTTTCACCTGCTGTACCCACATGTTCAGCATCAGAATCAGATACCTAATTATTCTGATTCTTTCAGATGTCCTTCTGACCCAAGCCTTTGAGCAAATTGTTTTCAGGCTAACATTGAAATCAGTTTCCTTTGTAAACTGCCCACATAACTTATTAGAAAAAAAAGTATCTCTTCAAAGCAGAAGAGTAGATAAGAAGCAGTGTGGGAGTAGGGGGAGTAGTAGGGAAAGAATCTCAATATCAAATTAAGAAACATTCTTGCCCTGATTGCTACAATATGCTTCACCCAATTGGCTGTCTTCTTGTTCATGTTGTGGCAAACTCCCTCTCTTGTCATTTGCAGACAATGTGCCCAGATATTTTCCGTGGTCCTTGGGGAGGAAGCCACTGCCGAGACTCGCCAGTGCAGTCGATTAGGAAATGCAGCTGTGCACCAGGTCCAACTGGGCGTGGGGGGAGGGGCAGAATGGAAGGTTAAGGAGGGTAAGGAATTGGAGCAAGGGAGGACCTGAGTGAACAGATGGAAGAGGGAAAACCCAAAGGAAGCAAAACTAGAAAGTAACAAATAAGGCCTCACTGAATCAGCACTTCCAATGCCTACCATCACTTTACCACCAAAGCATCAATATGGCCATGCAGGAAACGTATCTCATGCTATCAGAGCTAAGTAAAAGACAGTCACCTTGTATTTAATCAAAAGTGCTCAGCTGACTCTATTAGCAACATCCCTGGTATCAATTTTAAAGTAAACCAATGCAGATGGCATTATTTACCAATTCCCAATGGGAGACGAGAGGAAGGGGAAAGAGTTCTTTGAAGAATCTCAAAACTCCAATCAAGAAACTCTCCAGGGACTCGGAATGCCAGCCAAAATGACAGCATCTGTCAAAACACTTGGCTATTCTTGAAAGCAGCTGACATCTCTTGCAAAATTTTTAGAGGCAATCCCACAGGGAAAATTCCTCTTCATCAAGTGCATATTCATTTGCATTCTTTACCTATTCCTAACAAAAGGGAGAGGGTTCGTGGAGACATCCTCTGGTCTTTGTTAGTCTGGAAATCCTGCTTCCGATTTGTCATCACAGTCCAGGACCTTTTGAATAGCTGCTCCTAACTAGTTCTGGAGAAAAGAACTAAATGCTCCGGCTGAAAGATCTCTAATGGACTAATATGAGTCACTGGGTCGAGAGGAAGAATGCAAAATGGAAGTCTTTAAAGATCAGCCTTGAAAGGAAGAAAATTCACCATCACCTTAACATTCCAATGGCACAATGGAGGTAGGAGGTTGAAGGGATGAGTGTTCACGTAGGACAAGATGTCTAAGTCACAGAATTAACACCAGAAGGAAGCAAAAGCATCATTCAAAACTCTCTACTCTGGGGAAGAGGAAACCCAGGCCCATACAGAGGAGGTAGCAAAGCTGGGATTTGAGCACAGATGTTCTGAACTAAAAGCCTGAACTACCAATACCTCATCCATACTGGGGTACCATCCGATGCCCCCAAGCTGAAAGGTGTTTCCTGTTCTGCTCAGGATGGACAGACACATGAAGTCAAGAGATCACTTTGCTGTGGCTCCGCTTTTGTTTCTCAGTTTTGAAGTGGAGACAACAATACCCTTCCCCACCCCATCACAGCATTTCGTGAAATCAGGGCATAGAGAGTTTTGCAAGGAGGGAAGCAGAATCAAGTAAAGCTGTATACATACGTATAATACATCTGGGTGACATCAAGAACTAAACTCAGTTTGATGCACCTCACAGACCTCAGTCTGCAAAATCATCAACCCAGAAAAAAAGCTGTTCATTGTCTTCCCTCTCTACTGCTGCTTGCTCTCTGCCACTTATATTTGCTGCTGCCTTTGTCTTTGAGATTTCCTCCTCTTCCTTTGGCCAAATTGGAAACACCAGAATCCCATGGTCCTCTCTGTAGTGGCATCTGTAAGCCAAATGATAGTGAGAGACATTTCTGCTTCTCTGAACTGTTATTGTAGGCGTATCCAAAGGCAATTGTTTCTTAATTGAGATCTTTAAGAGCCAAGAGTAGATTGGATTACAAAAGGGAACCCCAGCCTCCTCCAGGATTTTAGGACTGGAGAAGTGCTTGATCTTTGTTGTAAAACTGGTGAATTCATTTGTGTTCAGACAAGCCCTGAAATGTGTCCAATACTTTGATTGCAGCTGGTTCCAGTTCTTGACTCCTCTTAGGGGTCCTGAACTGGGTGCACACACTTGCCCATCACAGAAGGGATTTTTGTCATCTCAGAATTATGTCATCATGCCCAGCATAGACAGGGGACTATTTGTTTTTATGGAAATGTTTTTATGGAGTAGATTTCATTATCTACTCCTCAGGATTCATTCCAGTGGCTCATTCCAGGCTCTCTGACTTTCAGATGTAAACTGTGATGAAATCCACCTCCCACCACTCATTGCTCCTACAATGTCTCAAACCTGGTACTGATGTGACTGTTCTCTTTTTGGGAGACAGACTTTATTTTCCATAAAAATTGTTTTCTTTCTTGACTCTTTGCTCTGCTCAACTCTTTCTGTGTCAGAACAAACATAAACTCTTCCCCAGCCACTTTACCCCCCAGCAGAGCATCACCTCACCCCCTTGATGTTGCCATGGAGACATCAGTGCACCAAGTCTCTCTCTGACCTGCAGTGACAGCCATGAGCAAATGAAGCCAGTGCAAACCTAAGTGGAAAGAGGAACATAGTGGATGAGCTCCCTCCTCCCTGAATGTGTGGGCAGAGGGGGACAATATTATGAAATGTCTAGAATAGCTCAGAGCAAAACCTCCTCTTAGTTTGATTTTGTCCAAATGTAAGCCATTAGGGCTGACTTTGCTCCACTCTTTGATTCCTCCAATTGCAAATGGGCTTGCTGAATTTCAAAATTGTGTCTTTTACATATATGTCTGGTCCATCATTTGGGGTTTCCTGAGGTTGTTTTCTGTGAAGCCAGCTCTTCCCCTGGGGGCATTTATCAAAACTGATCTCCTTGAACTTCAGTTTGTGTGGTCCTGTGGAGTGCAAGGAGGAGATGACAAAATCCAGGAGTTGACCAAAGTAAGGGACCTGGTGGGAAAGCCTCTCTCCACAAAGCTGGAACCTCCAGGAGGACACACCCTCCTCCATGGGTCAAAGAGGAAGAATTACAAACACTAGTGGGGCTGCAAGGATTCTGGTGCTGAATGGAAGAGGAGCAGAGCTAAATATGCAACTTCTGAAAATCTGAAATTCGGGCTGGCTGCCATGAGGCTTTGCAATCTGAATCTTCACTGTCTCCAGCTATAACTTAGAGGAATCTGACTACAAATGCCCTGTGCAGCCGGATGTTGCAAATGCAAACATCCTGCAATGGAACTGCCACATTCTTATCATCAAAAAAAATCCTCATACAGGTAAATCCAAGAAAAAGAAACAGCCTGTGCTCAAAGTCTCTAATATTCAAGGAAAAGAAACTCTATAACCAAGAAAGCATCCATAAGGATTTCACATGCCAGGTTATAAAATGAACACATTTAACACATTCAGATTTACAAGATTATAAAATAAACATTCTGAATTCTCAGACTATAAAATAAACATATTTAACATGTTTACAGATAATGAAATATAATATTGAAAGCATTTACGGGGATAAAGAATGACACAACACATTTTGAAAATGAATATATCTTCAAGTAGTAAAAAATTCATCATTGGAATTTAAAGCTCAGAAGAGGGGCTCATCAACAGTTAGTCTAATCAGGAAGATAATTCTCCAGATAAGAGATTATCAAGTGGAATTGCTCAGCGTCTCATACCTGCCACAATTTTCTACCATTTATTTCCCTCTTGATTCATCAGATGTCTAAAGTGTACCAATCAAAGTGCTTGGCAAGGCGAGATTCCAAAAATAGAGTACAGTCCCACCCACAAAAGTCTCTCCATTAAAAGGAAAAATGCCTGAAAACCAGAAGCAGTAGACCAAGTGCCAAGGGCTGCACAAGGAACAGCACCACCTCAAGCATGTCCCCTTTAGGCTGAATCCTCATTGCTCTCAGAGATACAAGTAGTCTACAGAAAGATAAGGTTATTGTGGAAATGAAAAACTGGAAAATAGGGATAATTTCCATTGCATGAATAATGCATATTATGAAAAAACTATGCATGGATTTCAAAGATTTTTGCACCACAACAAACTTACCTTTTAGTTTCAGCTTCCATGAACTTTTTGAAGTACCCTCATATTTATTGACTGTTAAGACAGAGACACTTTGTCTGTGAAAGTGTACATCAGTGGGGCCAGCACTGTGGCATAATGGGTAAAGCCACCACCTCGGACACCAACATCCCATATGGGCGCCGGTTCACATCCTGGCTGCTCTGCTTCCAATCCAGCTCCCTGCTAACTCAGGGAAAGCAGCAGAAGGTGCTTGGGCCCCTGCACCCACATGGGAGACCCAGAGGAAGATTCTGACTCCTGGCTTCAGACCTGCCCAGTTCCAGCTGTTGCAGACATTTGGGAAATGAACCAGCAGATGGAAAGTCTCTCTCTCTCTGTCTCTCTGTGATTCTGCCTTTCAAGCATATAAACGAATCTTTAACAATAAGAGAGAGAGAGAGAGAGAGAGAGAGAGAGAGAGAGAGAAAGAAAGAAAGAAAGAAAGAAAGAAAGAAAGAAAGAAAGAAAGAAAGAAAGAAAGAAAGAAAGAAAGAAAGAGGGAGGGTGAAGGAGGGAGGGAGGGAGGGAGGAAGGAAGGAAGAGTACATGAGACTAAGTGGCAATAAAAGGTAAGTAGAGTTATTTTCAAATATATTAGACCACCGCCATTACACTAGAATTAGATCCACCTGTTTGAGAGGATGGGCCTCATTAGGCTATGTCTACCAGGCTCAACAATGATTGGGGGCATTCCTTCCCATGATGGAAATGATTGAAGTGGCTTGTTTATACCTTGTTGGCTATCCTTATCTTCCTCCTTGAACCAAGTGCATCATTCCAACAGAACGTTTCCCCTTCATAACCACCTCCTACTTTATCATTTTTTTTCTATTTATTTATTTGAAAAGCAGAGTTACAGAGAAGTAGAGGCAGAGAGAGAGAGAAAAGTCTTCCATGCACTGGTTCACTCCCCAAATGACCACAATGGCCAGAGCTTAGCTAATCCGAAGCCAGGATCTGGGTCTCCCACACGAGTGCAGGGGCCCAAGGACTTGGCCCATCTTCTACTGCTTTCCCAGGCCATAGCAGAGAGCTAGATTGGAAGTGGAGCAGCCAGGACTAGAACCAGCGCCCATATGGGATGCTGGCACTGCAGGCAGCAGCTTTACCTGCTACACCACAGGGCTGGGCCCCTACTTTATCATATTCTAACGAATTGACTGTCCTTGTTTTTTTTCCTGTGTTTTTTCCCTTCTTCTAGACGCTATTCTCATATCTTCAAATGCTGTGATTTTTGTGTGTGTGTGTTTGTTTCTGCAGACAGCTGCCATGCTAAAGACCAGTATATTGAACAGTTCAAAGACACTCTGAACACTTCTGTAGCCAAGTCCATTGCTGGCTTTTTTGCTGAACCAATTCAAGTGAGTATATGAACTTTGGACTTTTCATTGAGATGAGTTTCCATTTCACAGAGTTTTAACGCATGCATTCTAAAGAATCCCCTACTAATTAAGTGTCCAATGCTGTGTCCCTCTCCAAATTCAAGTCCTCTGTCAGCACCCTTGAAAATAGAAGGCCCTGCTTTTCATTTGACCTTAAGATCCATCTTCTCCACTTCCACACAGACTAGACAGATAGATGAAACTAATTAATTACTAAAATTCCCAGGAAAAGGAAACCCCAGCAGTTGTGTTGCTTAACAGCCACACCGCGGGAAGGGCCTGTCTTTAATATCACCAAGTGCCCTTGTTGTACTTTTTCCTTATCTCAAGAAGAGTGAATATTTGCATCCTTTTTGCAGAAGGGTAGCATGAGAGTGGCTCCTGTTTTCACTGGCGGTTGAAATAGTTCTGCAATTTTTTTAAAAAAATTGTTGGTTTCTTGTCTTGACTATTGAGGAAGAATTTTTTTGTCATACTATTTGTTGAACTCTTAGAGTTAATCTTATGAATATATTAATTGAAGAGAGATCTTTGTAAAAAAGTAAATAAGAATGAGAATAGGAAAGGGAGGAGGAAGAAAGGTGGGAGTGTGGGTGGGAGGCAGTGTAGATCACTATGTTCCTATATTTGTATATATGAAAGTTTGTATACCTTAAATAAAAGTTTCTAGGTTAAATAAAATTGCTGGCTTATCATAATGATATGATAATGATCTTTTTAAAATATTTTGAAAGGGCTTCAGCTGTTGTTCCAGGTCTTTTTGTGATGTGGTCTTTTGCAGGGTGTGAATGGAGTTGTCCAGTACCCAAAGGGGTTTCTAAAGGAAGCCTTCCAGCTGGTCCGAAAGCAAGGAGGCGTGTGCATTGCTGATGAAGTGAGTGGCCATGAAATGGTGCAAGTTAGTGCAGTGGAACTGGAAAAGACAGAGAGAGAAACCTCTTCCAGGCAAAGCATTCTTGTGTGGATTACCAAGGATAGTTATATAATAATGAGCTTTCATTTGTTGGCTGCTTGGTTGGTTAGCAGATTAGTTGTTGAGTTTAACTACAGCAAACCTTAAACATTCAAACTGGTGTCTATCATATTTTTATTTTTATTAGTTTGAAAGGGAGAGAGAGATCTCACATCCTCTGGTTCACTCACCAAATGCCCACCACAGTTGGAACTGGGCCAGGCCAAAGTCAGGAGCCAGTAATTCAGTCTGGATCTCTCACATGGGTGGCAGGGACCCGCATACTTGATCCATCACTTGCTGTCTCCCAAGGTGCACATTAGCAGAAGGTTGGATGGGAATCAGAGCCCCAGTTCAAACCCAGGTGCTGTGGTATGCGATGCAGGCATCCCAAGCAGTAGCTTAACTAACTTGCTAACAGATATAAGTGATACTGTCATTACTCAGTGAATTTATAAGCATTCCCTATGGGGGATTTCTTCAGGAACAGCTAACAAATCACTTAGGAAGTTTAATTGCTTACCTAAGTTTTCATCTTAATTCATGCAGAAATAATATTAACCAACTTTGCAACATACATATTTCTGTTATGAAAAAATTTTCTTCGAAATGATATTTTTCAAAATAAATAAACAGTGGCCGGCGCCATGGCTCAATAGGCTAATCCTCCGCCTTGCAGCGCCAGCACACCGGGTTCTAGTCCCTGTCGGGGCGCCGGACTCTGTCCCGGTTGCCCCTCTTCCAGGCCAGCTCTCTGCTATGGCCCGGGAGTGCAGTGGAGGACGGCCCAAGTGCTTGGGCCCTGCACCCCATGGGAGACCAGGAGAAGCACCTGGCTCCTGCCTTAGGATCAGCGTGATGCGCCGGCCGTGGCAGCCATTGGAGGGTGAACCAACGGCAAATAGGAAGACCTTTCTCTCTGTCTCTCTCTCTCACTGTCCACTCTGCCTGTCAAAATAAAATAAAATAAAATAAATAAATAAATAAACAGCAACCTACCCTATAAATTAGAAAAATGTGACTATTGTAGACATTTGGAAAATAGTTCCCCCAAAATTGTAAAATAGCTTGAGTTAAAGTAGCATGGTTGGGATAAGCACACAATACCTCCAATATGATTCACGTGAAGGGAATAAAATTCACTGTGCGAGCTCTAGCCTACATTTGTTTAAAAGGGATAAGTTTACTTATAATTACAACTCATATTAGAGTATATCAAAAAAAAAAAAAAAAGCAGCCCTTCATCTATTAAGATCAGCCATGGAGATCAAAAGGCTAGAAGCTGGTTGCGGGACCACAGAGTTCCAAGCTCAATGCTGGGTGACCCAATATGATTGCACAAACAGGTGGTTAGACCCACCAAGGACAGGTGAAGGACTTGTAAGTATGTTTCATACCTATTTCAGCCCTACCATCTTTGCTTGAACAGTTTTATCCAACTAAAAATTCAGGACAGATGTTGTTGATGAAGCAAACCAAAATATTTCTCTTTAAAATACTGAGGATTCTTGAGCTGAAAGGTTAGAAGGTAGGGAACTTTCTGTTTAATTTCTGTCTGCCTACAGTGCTTTCCTGGCAACAACACTTTTTAGCTCACTTGTTTTTGCGTTCCAATTTGCTGCCTCTAGTCACCCTCCTTCATCTTGTTACTGCTCTATGACTGGCCATACTCTGGAGAGAAGGACCAAAGAATTTCGCTCTGGATATTTATTGGATTTCACTCCCATGTGGCGATCCCCAAGTACAAAGGACTTGAATAGAATCTGAGTGCTTTTCTCTTCTTAATCAGCTTTGTATTAATTTGGCCCATAGATCCAGCCCAAGTACCCATCTAAGAATGAAGGGACGGTGGAGGGAACTGCTCCCTCCTCCACCTTCAGTTGCTCCTTTGACAGAAACTTTACAAGTTTATTTCTTAGACAGAAATTTTTGCAGTTTTTGGTGGGCAGCCCTGGTACACAGTATGCCACCAGTGTACTGGGCATTGCTTACACCTGCCATGCTCACCCACCCACTGCCCCAACCTGCCAATAAACTAAGCAAGATTCTAGCTGAAGAAAGTTAATGTGCTATTTAAAAAAAGAAAAGTATACTCAATCAGTTTAAAATTAGCTACTTTAGGGAAGAGGATGAACTTTGGCTTCAGAATCAGCACATAATGAAGCTTCCACAGTTGGGCTAATTAGAGGAAGGGGGGCTGGACTCAAAGAAAACATGAATTTCAGAATTTTCTTAGGTATAGTGTTCTATGAATTTCACGAATATAATTGGAAACTGTCTAGCACAAGGTAACCTTGAGAAAGACTGTCTTAATGACAAAGAGTAGCTAGAATTTTCTGAGTACTTCCTGCATGTCAGGCACTGTTCGTAATGCTTTGCAAGTGTTAGCTTGTTTAATGCATAGAATCTATAAAGTGCACCCCATTATTCCTACTCCCACTTTACAAATAAGTGCACCTATTAAAGTCATGCAAGTTAGTAGTGACAGATCCAGACTCAAATTCAGCTTTCCCTAGACCATAGCACTAGTAACCCTCAGAAGTGAAGGGTGGTGTGGAACAGCAAATGGTGGCAGAAATGGAGCGAACAGCAGAGGATGGAAAACCTGAGCTCGGGGGACCAATTCTGCCACCCAGTGACCCCGCAGAAGTCATTTTTTTTTTTTTGACAGGCAGAGTTAGACAGTGAGAAAGAGAGACAGAGAGAAAGGTCTTCCTTCCATTGGTTCACCCCCCAAATGGCCACTACGGCCGGTGCGCTGCACCGATCGAAGCTGGGAGCCAGGTACCTCTTCCTGGTCTCCCATGAGGGTGCAGGGCCCAAGCACCTGGGCCATCCTCCATTGCCTTCCTGGGGCACAGCAGAGAGCTGGACTGGAAGAGGAGCAACCGGGACAGAACCAGCGCCCCGACCAGGACTAGAACCTGGAGTACCAGCACCACAGGCAGAGGATTAGCCTAGTGAGCCGCAGCGCCAGCCAGAAGTCATCTTAATTCAGGACCATAAGCATTCATTTATTTAAAATGAAGAATTTGGAGGGCAGTCATTTGGTGCAGTTGTTAAGATACTATTTAGGATGCCCTTGGGATGTCTGGGTTAAAGTCCTATCTCTGCTTCTGATCCAGCTTCCTGCTAATGTGCACCCTGGGAGCAGCAGGTGATGGTTCAAGTATTTGGTCCTTGTCACTGACATGAAAGACCCAAATTGAGTTCTGGGTTCCTGGCTTTGGTCTGGTGCAGCTCCAGCAGTTCTGGACATTTGGACAGTCAACCAATGGCTAGAAGGTCTCTGTTTCTGTCACCATCCCTGTGTCTCTCTGTCTTTCAGATAAAACAGAATCTTCAAAAACTTTTTAAAAATAAAATAAAAGGAAGAATTTGGAATCAAAGATAAAAAATGGGCAGTCTCTGGGGTCAAATTGGTCAGGCAGTCTTTGCTGGTCTGGCATAGGCTGATTTTCAATTTGAAATTGACTTCTTTGGGCCAAAGTGTGCACACCTATGGTCCCCACCCAAGCCTGTCCAAGATCCAGCCTGCTTCTGTCTGTAATGCATGCCCCTCATCCCCAAAGACACATTGTAGTGATCTACATCTGTCCTCTGGAATGATCCTATGTAACTGGCACTTCCTGGGTGACTAAACGTAGCTTAGTGTCCTACATAACTTCACGTGTTGTCCAAGCAAACTGATTTTTCACCATTTGTGCCATTTACTTATGGAGTTAGCTGGAGTAACAAAAGAAGACGGGGTGGACATTTGGCCCAGTGGGTCAGACCTGTTAGAACACTCACATCCCATATTGGATCATCTGGGTTCGGTGCTGGCTCTGGCTCCTGATTCCAGCTTCCTCCTAGTGCAGAGTTGGCTTAAGTAACTGAGTCCCTGCCATCATGTGGAAGACCTAGATTTCAAATTCTCAGCTAGTGGCTTCACCCAAGCCAGGGGTACTTGCGGGCATTTGGAGCTTGAATCAATGGATGGGAGTGTTTCTCTTTCTCTCTCTTCCTCTCGCTCTCTTATAAACAAATTAAAAAAAGTCAAAGAAAGACAAAATAGATGCATTTTCCATAAGCTCATCCTTAGCTATTTTGGGCAATCAATAAGTTTTCTTGGAGGCCCATACTTAGGAAGTAGGAAGCCCAGGACTCCAGCCAAATCTGTCCAACACCCTGTTCACACCCCTCTGCTACATCGGTCACTAATCACCCAGTTCTAAGCCTGGAATTTGCCTCTTCTGTGGCAGCCTCGAGAGAGAAGAAGAAATGAGAAGTGAGCCTGAGGGGTAACTTGCCCTTCCAGGTGCATTTTAGAATCAGCTTCATGTGCCCACACCCCTACCTCTGCCCAGCATTGTGTCCATGTGCAGAGAGAAACGGTCAGTCCAACAGAGAAACTGAGGAGCAGAAAGAGATCAAGGAGTATTCCCTGGGAAGGCTCCGGCAGAAATTTACATGGGGCTGTTCATGGGATTGATAAATTGGGAATTTCTCCTTCATTCATTCTGCAAATACCAAGCCTCCCTTTTGTGTCAGGTACTCTGCTAGGAGGACAGGGCAGAGAGAGAAAGGAGACATGGTCCTTGCCATCAAATACATACGAGGGCACTTTTAAAAGCTTGCAGAAAATGAAATTGAAAGATACATTGGTTTGGGTGCTAAGACTTTGGATCTATAAATCCATTTTTTCATAATCCATAAATCCATTTTTCCATAAATGCATTTTCCATGAGGTTTTTTTAAGACCCCCTCATACCCTGCCCCTAAGGGTCCACATGAAAGGTTCAGAAAACCACAAGTCCCAACTGCCTTCAGTGGGAGCCGGCTGGTATTCAGGAAAAGCTTCCTAGAATGAGTGATGAGGAAGGCATGTTTGGAAGGACAGAAGTGAGTTAGGAGGAAGCAGAAAGAAGGGCTTCTAGAGACAGGCAACAGCGTGCACAAAAGACTAAGGTCAACTTCCGGCCCAATCACAGTGATTTCTGGGGTGGCTGTAAACTCATTCCTAAGCTAACTGGCTCCGAGGGTCCTCCTCATGATAGGATCCTCAGGAAGGGGTGGGATCTCTGGTGAGGGAATGGCCAGCCCACAAGGGTGGCAGGTGCCGCAGCTCCACTAAACTGATGGAAGCTCCTGCATCCCAGCCAGGGCCAAGCCCAGCTTCTCACTTTTCTCCCCCACTGCCTCACACACAGGAGATGCTTAAGAAGATTGCTAATCATAGCAATTGCCTTCAAGGCACCCTTGAGAGGACCCTCATGGCAGCCAGGTGTGTACTGTAACCAGTGTTTGTACCTGACAGGAGCATTAACAGAGGATCAGCAGAGGTAGGAAACATTCAGGATGACAGAAGACTAGAAAATTACTTTTGGTGCCTAAAAGTTCAGACACAGATTAAGTGCCTTGTGTAGGATACTACAAGGATGGTGATGATGATGGTTGTGGTGGTGGTGGTGAAGAGAAAGAAGAGAAGGAGGAAGAAAAATAAAGGGGAAAGAACAAAGAATCAGGATGAGGGGAATCTCATTTCTTGAAGGGGTCTCATTGGTATTGAATGTGTTTCCCTTAGGTGCAGACAGGATTTGGAAGATTGGGCTCTCACTTCTGGGGCTTCCAAACCCATGACGTGCTGCCTGACATTGTCACCATGGCTAAAGGGATTGGGAATGGCTTTCCCATGGCAGCGGTTGTGACCACTCCAGGTAGGATCTCCGGGCAGTCTGTGCTTGCCTCTGGGCCTCCTGCTTTGGCATTTGTACAAAGGATGTGGGTTGGAACGCATATGGGTTGCAGGCAGTGACAAGAACTAGACCATGCATTTCCCAAGTGAGTGAAAGAAATGATCTTCCTGCCAGGTTATCAAACCTATGAAAGGAAGCCGGCCCTTTCTGCTCTTGCTGTAGGGAAGACTAACCCAGCAATGAATCACAGGCTCCCACCAACTGCCTAAGTATAGGAAAATGAGTTATGAAACCAACCTGAACCCCCCAGAGGAGTCGTATTCTTGAAGGAGACTCACCTGGCCTTGCCACACCAATGAGCTGTGAACTCAAGGCCCAGAGTGATAGATTTCTCTGCTGATATCTCATCAACAAAACATTCAAGTACAGTAAAGCCTCACTTACCCTGAACATGAACATTGGAATTAAAGGCATTTTCCATCTTACTTCACAGAAAGCAGTTTCTTTATGAACCATTGGCCACTGAAAATCTTAAAATGATTTCATTTGTTTTTCTCATCAACCGTAAGCACACTTCTGAGGTTTCTATACTGACTCTGAAACAATCTGTAGTTTGTTCTAAATCCTTAATGTGAGTTTTTTCTTGACATTTCCACGTGAGTTTCAAGAATAGAATTCAGGAAAGAAGTTTTAGCTAATTGAAGGTTCTATGTACACTCCCATAGATGTAGTTTTCAAGAACTGTCCAAGTCATACCTTAAACATTCTGCTGTCAAACTTCTCGTCGAGTACGTGAACCATTTTTCCTTATCCATAATATTAGCCCAGTCAGGTTGGCAAGACAAGATACCACAGACTGGGTGGCTTAAACAGCAGACATTTATTTTCACATAGATCTGCAGGCTAAGAGTCCAAGATCAAGTTGCCAACAGAGTTGGTTTCTAGTGAGATCTCTCTTCCTGGCTTGCACACGGCCACTTTCTCACTGTGCAATCCTCTCTGCGCACAAGGAAAGAGGGAGCAAAGGACGAGGGGTGGGAGGGAAGGATTAGGTTCTGGTGTCTTCCTCTTCTTGTAAGGATACTAGCCCTATTGGACTAGGGCCCCATCTTGATGACCTCATGTATCCTTAATTACCTTCTTAAAAGCCCTGTATCAAGATACAGTCACTTTCAGGGTTAGGGCTTCCACACATCAATTTGGGGTGGATATAGTTCAGCCCACAACATCCTGTATCAGGTGGCTGAGGAATGAACTGCATAGGATGTCGTTTACAATGCAAAAGGAAATGCAGTCCCAGTGGTGTGGGAGAGAGGATGGAGGCGGAATATGTCATCCTCAACCCCTCCTTTCCTTTTGTTTCTCTAGAGATTGCCAAGTCTTTGGCTCAAAGCCTGCTTCACTTCAACACCTTTGGAGGGGGGCCCCTGGCCTGCGCCATTGGATCTGCCGTGCTTGAGGTTTGTGCCAGCAGCCACATGAACTTCACTCATTTCACAAAACAACTATTTCAAAACCACACACCCATTACAGAACTCTACACATTGCATTATTGATGAATTAGTTACTAATTCATTATATTTAAGTTAGATTTCCAGTTATTATTCTGTCTTTCCCCTTTTTTAAAGATCTACTTTAGGTGATTGAAATATTGTGTAAGACAATATTGGGGTTGGCATTTTGCTTAATGGTTAAGATGCCGGTTGGAGCAGCCACATCCTATATAGGAGTACCTGGATTTGAGTTCCAACTCCACTCCTGATTCCAGCTTCTTGGTAATGCTCTCCCCTCCCTGGGGGACAAAGGTTCAAGTACTTGGATCTCTGCCATCCATGTGGGAGACTTGGATTGACTTCCTGGCTCCCAGCTTTGGCACAGCCCAGCCTACCTGGGCCACTGCAGGCATTTGGGAAATAAACCACTGGGTGGGAGCATTCTTTTTTACACTCTTTCTCTCTGTGTGTCTGTCTACATGCCTCTCAAATAAATAAGCTTAAAATTGTTTAAATAACTAGGAAATAATATATAATAAACCACTACATGGAAAATACAAAAATTCTCCTAGCCAACTGGTAGCACTAAAATTTGTTATCTGGGTAACATTTTATGCATAGTTGCTAACTGCTATCCTTTTTTTTATTAATTTTGGTCCTATCTTGTGTGTTGTTCTTTATTCCTTTTGTTGTACTCTCATAAAGCAAAAACTAAAGAGAAACTTAGTTCTATATGATGACCAGTAGGTAGTTCTGCTATTTTAAGGTATTGTTCAGCCCTAATCCACACGAGCCTACAATCTCACCTGTTGAAAGAGGTTTTTTAAAATGTCCTTGCTAATATGTACAATATCATTTGCTTTAAAAAGTATAAATGTTTCAGGAAGAATGTCCAAGAAATAAATAGCAACAGTTAATTGCAGGGAGGTAAGCCTGGTGGCTAAGGATCAAAAGTTAACAAGAGCCATTCTACCATCCACACTCATACTTTCTGATTTTTTAATCAAAAACGTGACTTTCTTGTTCAACAAACAAGTTTAGAAGTGTTTTGAAATAGAAGTAAACAAGTAAAATCTGCCCTCACTCATTAGCTACCTTCAAAGATGATTAGAATCGCAGAAAAGAAAGTGTTGGTAGAAATGTGTCATTTCATCTTTCAGACCTTGACAAAAAATTTTTAGGTGCTGTGGCACCTCAACAATTTAGAAGATAGAAAGGATTTGGTGAACAAATATATCTCTTTTTTTTTGACAGGCAGAGTGGACAGTGAGAGAGAGACAGAGAGAAAGGTCTTCCTTTGCTGTTGGTTCACCCTCCAATGGCCACCGCGGCCAGCACGGTGTGGCCGGCACACTGTGCTGATCCGAAGGCAGGACCAGGTATTTCTCCTGGTCTCCTGTGGGGTTCAGGGCCCAAGCACTTGGGCCATCCTCCACTGCACTCCCAGACCACAGCAGAGAGCTGGCCTGGAAGAGGGGCAACCAGGACAGAATCCGGTGCCCCGACCGGGACTAGAACCCAGTGTGCCGGCACCACAGGTCGAGGATTATCCTATTGAGCCGCGGCGCCAGCCACAAATATCTCTTAACACATAAAAATTCACCTGGAGCCATGCAATTGTTATCAACTAAATACGCATGGGCTTGTCAAGAATCCCAGGTTTCTGCTGTTAATGGAGCTTAGGTGAAAATCCTATATCTGTCCATGTCCCAGCTCTGGGCTCAGCTAAAGAAACCAGGATCCCCTCAGGCCTTGCAGGCTCTGACAGTGAGGGACACTGTCTGACTGAGGGTCTCTGTGTGACTGGACAGAGGACAGGTGCGTCTGATCCCCCATTTCTTAGAACAACTGTCGTATTTATCACAGCATTCCAGTTCTCAGCGAAGCCTGGCAATAATGATCCTCAGTATTATGGGATTGATGGTTCTGACTGCTTTGAGACACAGCTTTTATTCTTTCCTAAATTCTTGTCCACCATGAGGGTGAAGGGATTAGGGACAAGAGCATCCCTCCTGCCAAGAGTTTTCTTCTTACGAGAAGTAGTTTTGCAGTCTGTGACATGACCACCCTGGACTTTGTTCAGGGTTCTGTTCGGTTGAATTCCTGTAAAAACAAGTCATATACATTTTCCTCTGTGTGCTACTCAATCAATCCTAGGATATTTGCCATGAAGGTCATTTTGGGGCTTTCTCTCAACAGGTGATTAAAGAAGAAAAGCTACAGGAAAACAGTCAAGAAGTTGGCACCTACATGTTACTGAAGTTTGCTCAGTTGCGGGATGAGTTTGACATTGTTGGTGACGTCCGAGGCAAAGGCCTCATGATAGGGATAGAAATGGTTCAGGACAAGGTAGGTGCTGCTGGGCTGCTTTCTCTGTGGTCCCTGGGGCGGGCAGGAGTTAAAGTCAGACGCATCAGCTGAAAGCTCACTTCCTTCATTCTCAGAGAGAGAGCCCACACAGACACCAAGACTCAGCAAAGTCCTTGAGCGATGAGCAGGGAGTGTTGAGCATGAACGAAAGGCTAGCAGATCTTTGAGAACTCTAGCAGGGTGAGGGAGAGCATCTGGAAAAAGGACCTGATAGGACTCTTGCCAGACGAGGCCAAGAACACAGGCAATAACTGGACACAGATGATCCTCACCTGCTAAAGTTTGTCTTGGGATTTTTTGACTTTATAATGATATGAAAGCCACAGGCATTCAGAAGAAAACATAATTTTGAGTTTGGATCCTTTCCCAACTAGTCATATGCAGTACAGTTCCCTTTCATGAAATAGGGCAGCCACTGCTGGAAATCCCAGTCAGCCCTACCATCACAAGGGGAAACAACTGTGACCCTATGGTGGGCTGTGTTGCCAAGCTGTGATGTTCAACAGATGGAATGTTTTCAATGCATTTTGACTTACACTGTTTCCAATTTGCAATGGGCTTATTGGACCATAACTGTATCCTAAGTCAAGGAATCTCTATGCTTACAAATTGTTTTGGGAGGGGCAGGTTGTTCAGAGAGTTAGTGGAAGTGAGGAAGGAGGGCCAGGAGAAGCTGTGGTGAAGGTGTGGGATATGGCTGTTAAAGAGACATTGGACTCGTGTACTTCTTTGTGTGTTTGCTTGTTTGTGAATTAATTTCAATCTCCTAAGTAACCAGGGAGGAATGTTCCCCACTGAGACCCCAAACTCAACAGGATAACAGCTGAACTTAGCATTTTCCCCAATATTCTCTCCAATATCACTGTTTCTCACTCCACCATTCTTCCAGTGACCCAGCCTCAACACCACAAAATAATCTGCAACTCCTGTTGATTCTTTCTTTGCTGTCACTCAGCCCCATCCCTTGGTTTCCATTGCTGCCCCACAGTCCATGCCAGCAGAAATGTGTGGCTTTCCTCCACAGCACAAAGCCTAGGTCTTCAAAGGAGAATAGTAGCCTGGGGAGGAGGAGCCAAACCAACCTCATCTCCCTCACTCCTGTCCACAGATTCAGCTTTTCCCGAGTGAGTTCTTGCTGTTGATCTCACCATACTTCCTCCTTTAGGAGGATTGATGCTCAGTTCTTTTTTTATTTTTATTTTTTTGGTTTTTTTTGACAGGCAGAGTTAGACAGTGAGAGAGAGAGAGAGACAGAGGAAGGTCTTCCTTTTTCCATTGGTTCACTACCCAAGTGGCCGCTACAGCTGGTGCATTGCAGCTGGCACGCTGCGCCGATCCGAAGCCAGGAGCCAGGTGCTTCCTCCTGGTCTCCCATGCAGGTGCAGGGCCCAAGCACTTGGGCCATCCTCCACTGCACTCCCGGGCCACAGAAGAGAACTGGACTGGAAGAGGAATAACCAGGACAGAATCCGGCACCCCGAGCAGGACTAGAACCCAGGGTGCCGGCGCCGCAGGTGGAGGATTAGCCTAGTGAGCCATGGCGCCGGCCAATGCTCAGTTCTTTTAACAACAGATCAGACTGTGGATATAGCACTCTACTATTAATACCACATGGCGGAGCCACTAGGAGTTGGAACGTTTATGTAAGATTTGAAAGCTAAGAAAAGACAACGGAAAATAGACAAGGAACAGGAGGGCACCAGGCTCATGAGGCATCACCCACTCACGTCAGCTTGCAGCCCACTTTAAGCCTCAGAAGAGTCCATCCAATTTCCTGCCCAGGACCTCCCTCAAAGTCTAGGCTCTGCAGAGAGAAGTCCAAAGAGAGAGGAGTTGTTCCTCCCTTTCCTCCTACTCTGAACCCAGCCTCTGCAGGCTTAAGATCATAAGAACAAAGAATTTCACTGGTACTTGGCAAAACATCAGAATCTGCCAAAGGGCCGTTGCTATGGAATAAGCTAAATTCTACAATGGCAGAGACATGAAGTTACTCCAGAAAGTTAAAATTGAAAGATCATTGACATTGGTGCACAAAAATGGAAATCGAGTCGTAGTTTTTTCATATTATGCATTTTCCATGAACTTTTTGAAGACCCCTCAAATACATTTGACATGGAAAGATGTACAAACTCTATTGGGGAGAAAATAGAATGGGCCATACAAGAGGAACTCTCGAATGAGCTCTTCTTCCTTTGACTCTGCCTTTTGCTGGTTATAAGCATGGGCTCTGAGGCAGATCCCCCAGGCTTGAATCCCAGCGCTTCCAGTGCCCCATTCTGCTCATTCTCCCTTCAACACTTTTCACTCTCCTGAATCCAAATGCTGCTCCAGGTTCTCCCCAAACGTAGAGCCCAGCCCCATCCTCTCTGGAGGACTAGCCTTGTCTTGACTAGCCTCTCCCTCTCCCTCTCCCCTCTCCCTCTCCCTTTCCCTCTCCCTCTCCCTCTCCCTCTCCCTCTCCCTCTCCCTCTCCCTCTCTGGAGAACTAGCCTTGTCTTGACTAGCCTCTCCCCTCTCCCCTCTCCCCTCTCCCCTCTCCCTCTCTCTCTCTCTCTCTCTCTCTCTCTGGAGGACTAGCCTTGTCTTTTTTAGATCTTGCTTTTCATCACACGCCCCCCCCCCTTAAAGTTTGCTCTTGCTTCTCCCCAACACAGAAGCTCCACCCTTCAGAGGCTACCTCTAGCACTCATTGTCTGAGGAGCTCTTTTAAGAAGATTTCTTCCACTAGCTTAGTCACTCCAGGCTTCTATAACAAACGTCTATAAACTGAGAGTCTTATAAAGAACAGAACTTTTAAGGTTTATTTATTTGAAAGGTAGAGTGACACAGGGGTGGGGGAGGAGAGGGAGAGAGAGAGATCTTCCATTTGCTAGTTCAGTTCCCAACTCGCTGCAACAGTTGATTCTGAGCCAGGATGAAGCCAGGAGCCAGGAACTCCATCCTGGTCTCTCACATGGGTGCAGGGACCAAAGTACTTGGTCCATCTTCCAGGCATCTTCCACTGCCTTCCCAGAGGCATTAGCAAGAGGCTAGATTGGAAGCAAAGCAGAACACAAACCTGCACTCCTATATTGGTGCTGGCCTCACAGTGACAGCTTAACCTGCTGTGCCACAGTGACAACCCCAGACAGCAGAACTTTACTTCTCACAGTTCTGGAGGTCAGAAAGGCCAAGCTCAAGGTGCTATCAGATCAGTACCTGGTGAGGTACTGATTCTCTCTCTCTCTCTCTCTCTCACCTTCCCACTGTAACCTCACATGGAGAGAAGATGAAGACGCTCTCAGGGACCTCTTTTAGTAGACAGTAATCACATTCATGTGGGCTCCACTCTAATGACCTAATCACCTCCCAACACCAGCACAGCGGGAACGAGGCTTCAACAGATGAGTTGTGGAGAGTACATAAGCCTTCAGTTTATGACATCCACTGTGTTTGTTGCCTCAAAATACCTTATTTTCCTTAACAAGTTGCACACTTCTGTGGCCAGGAAGCATGCAGATAGGAAGTGCTTCGTCTGCGGGGGCTGATTTCAGGCTCGTGCCACTCCTGATGAGGATGTCACCTGGTCCACACCAGGTTATATCAATTTGTCTGTGTCTACCAAAATTCTAATGTGTCTGCACATTTTGGCCTGGCAGCTCCACTTCTAGAAGTGTGTCCTAAAGAGAAACAAGAGGATGTGAAGTTGAATGTGAACAGGGATGTGTATAGCACTGTTCATGACCATGAAAAACTGGAAGCAACCTAAAAAGCCAAGCGATCGAAGCAAGAGATTGAACAAATTACAGGCAAGCAATGAAATACTAGTAACCTTTAAGAAGACTAGGTCTGGGGCTGGCCTTGTGGCACAGCAGGTTAAACTGCTGCCTGAAATGCCAGCATCCCCCATGAGCAGCAGTTCGAGTCACTGCTGCTCCACTCCCGATCCAGCTTCGTGTTTGTGTACCTGAAAGAGCATCGGAAGATGGTCCCACTGCTTGGACCACTGCCAGCTAAGTGGGAGACCCAGCTGGAGTTCCACGCTCCTGGCTGTGGCCTGGCCCTATCCTGGCTATTACAGCCATTTGGGGAGTGAACCCAAGGGTGGAAGACCGATTCTCTCTCTCTCTCTCTCTCTCTCTCTCTCTTTTCCTCTCCCTCTCCCTCACTCCTTCCTTCCCTTCCTCCCTCTGTCTCTGTCTGTAACTCTGCCTTTTAAATAAATAAATAAATCTTTAAAAAAAGACTAGGTCCAGGATACTGACATGGAAAAACATCCATGATATATTGTGAATTATTAAAAAGAGAATTGTAGGACTTTATATAAAGAATGCCTGATTTTTTAAATGTACATCAGGGTATTTTCATGCACTGAAGAAATGCCTGATTCACACCAAATTATCAACAATAAGTGTCCCTAGAAATAGGACATAGGGAGGCAAAACTCCAGCAGTCAGAAACTTTGTTCATTTCTGCATTATTTAAAATATTTTTCTTCAATAACCATGCATTACTTTTATAATTGTTTAATTGCAGAGTCACAAGAAAAGGAAAATCAGAAAAGACAGACAGGAAGCTACATTATACACTCAAGAAGAGTTTTAGTTACGACCATGCCCACTTTGTGATGGGTCATGGGCATGAGCAGCCTGGCCCCTGGCTTTGCCTCATTAAGAGTTTCCAGTCCTGCCTTTCCCTGTGGGATGCATACAGTACGTTCAATTAGTCCCAACAGCTGAGGAAGGCCAGAATAAAATGGGCAGGAGAGCAGGGAGGGTGCTGGCCCAGACCAACACTGGGGTAAAGTCACATAAATGCCTCCTGTCTAGATACATAGTACTGGAGAAGCTCCCCACCCCCAACACAGCTACTTCTTCCACCCAGAGACCATTCCAGCAGGGCTGGCCCCATCCGACCTCTGGTCTCCCCAGTCATAGTTAGCTGCTCTCCAGTTCCCACAGTTTAACCTTCCATCATTTTAGACTGCCCTCTCCAACAATTAGGACTCCAGGGACAAGCAGGAATAGATTCTTCCACCAAGGAGGAGGTCTTAGTCCTCTCCCTAACCCACATGCTCCTGACCTGAATTGTGAATGGCATTTTGCTCATCTCAAAACTGTAAGACAAAAAATACAGACATCCCTGGGAGGGAGGTCCAGTCTGATTCTGTTCTCAGACACCCACACCTCCCAGGGGCTGCAGGATTAGGGGAGAGAATTGGATGAGGGCTTGGTGGGGAGACAGGAATGCATGGCAAAGCCAAGAGGCAGGGCTGGGAGTAATGAAGCCGGGCACCTAGAGCGAGCCCTGAGGATCACAGGGGCTGCCCCTGAGAGGCACCACATCCTGTGCACCTGAAGCCAGAGATCCGGGCTTGGGTGAGTTGGGGAAGAAAGACAGGAGGCCAGCAGCAGCAACACCACTCAGCGCTCCTAGGAGGAGGGTTGGGGTAGCTCTCAGCACAGGCATTTGAAAAATACAGATGCCTGAGTATTGCCCCAACTACTCTAGCTTGATTGGCCTCGCAGGAGACCCAAACATATGCATTTTAAAAGGCATCCAACCAGCACAGACACAGCCAAATTTGAAAGGGCTAAGTCAGAGGAAGGCATTTGTATTCACAGGCTGAGAAGACAAGAGACAACACAGAGAGCACACAGGTCACAGCCCCGTGTCAGCAGGGGTGGTGGCGTGTCTGAACCCCCAGACTCGGGACAGCCTCAGATGCTCGGGGATCGGATGTTCCTTCTTGGCTCCTAACCCTGGGGAGCAGAGTCTTAGGAGAGAAACAGAAAAAAAAAAAATTCCCGGAGCAGGGAAGATGGGGACAAACTGGCCACACCCCAGTGATGATTGCCCAGACATGCAGTGGCCCTGGGAAAGCTTGGACCATGTGTGCCCTTGTGCAAGTTCTGAGCCACTTCCTGGACTTTGAGATGAGCTTTTTACACAAGCTGAACAAAGTGAAGAGTTGAAAAAAATTTGCACATAAATAAAACAGACTGGAAATTCAACTAATACGGAACCAAACTCCCAAAGTAGCCATTAGCAAAGCCAAGATTCATTGGCTGCCTATGTGACACTCCAGTTTGTCTTTAGACATTTGGGGTAAATGGAGATTAAGGACACACATTTTTAATAATACTCTCCAAAAATCTGGCCCTACAGTTAACAGCTTTATTTAATTAGGGGGTAGGGAAGAGGATGGACAGAAAAGGGTATTGATTGCTTGAGGTTTCTTTTCTTCTCTCTCTTGGCAATAATGCCTGCAGCTATGCAAACACCAAATAGAAAACATTTTCAAAAATGTATTCACAGATGAGCCGCCAGCCTCTTCCCATTGAAGAAATAAATCAAATCCATGAGGACTGCAAAAACATGGGGCTCCTCGTTGGCAGAGGCGGCATTTTTTCACAGGTAAGAGAAAGGCCGGACTTTAGAACCGCTTCTCCCTGATGCCCCAACGCTGGTGGGGGTTTTTCCCGGCTGCACCTCTTAATACTCAGGTGTTCTAAAGAAGGGAGCAGTGACGCCTTATGGCCACGAGGTGGCACTGTGGTAAATGGTTTGATTTTTTCTGCTCATTGAGGGAAAGGCAGCGCCGCACACCAGCGTTGCTCCAGCAGGGGTTATAAGGGTCTTAAACAGCCAAGCAAGAAATAAGATTGGTGTATGGATTAATTCTAGCCACTGTTAAAGCAATGCTAGATGTCCTTAACTAGCTCTGGGCTCCCACTTGGAGACTGTGTGAAGTCTTTTTCGCCCCTACGGCAGGGAACCACCTACCAGCCCTGAGCCCACCCGGGTGACCCCTGCAAAGAAGTTGGGGGACCACTCTGGGCCAGGTCGCTAGGGCAGAACTCAAGGCAGGAGATGCGGAGGCAGAGCTGCTGCCTGCCTACTTCCAGGGAAAGCCGAGCTTCGCTTCTTGGCCAGGGCCCTGAGCTCTGTGCTGTGCGTGAGGTGCTGTTGCGGGACGTGCCCTGACCTGACCCTACAGCCATGGCACCAGCAGGCCCCTCACCAGGGGTGGCGCCCCGGCAGAGGTGGAAGTGTGAGGGTAACTTCTCATCCCCCCATTATCCTTCCCATTTGTAAAACATCCTAAGCACACAGTAATTGCACGTTTTATGGGGTGCAGTGAGATGTTTTGACAATGTACGCTGTGTAATGTTCAAATCACTTGAAAAAGCATTTGTAGCTCCTGCAGCACTGATCATGACACGATGGTGAGAACATGGAAATCCTTTCTAGTAGCTCTTGTAAATAAATAGACGCCACCTTTTCCTTGTCTGTAGTCACAGCGAGCAGCGGGACTGGAACTCGTGTTTCTTTCTCATTGGAAACATTTCCGCTTCCCAGTTTCCTGCACCTTCCTGCCTCACGATTTCCATGAATCCTGAAATCGTCTCACTGTCTCCTCCTTCTCGGAGCTGTCCTGCAAGATCTCTGTGTAAATCCATGAATATTTTCCTGCATAAACCAGGCAGCATAACGTAGTGAATAAAATCCCCCACACATATGAGATACGGAGAGAGAAAGCAGCTGGCTACTTGCCTAGCGATTCCTTCGTTATTTGGTGAACATATCTTTGGTATGAAGCAGCAAGTGATGAGCCAGGAACTGAAGCTCCCATGATAGATAAGATCCAGTCCCTCCTTTCATGGATCTGGTGGGGAACAAAGACCCGTAAACTGAAAACTGTGACGTCATGGTGTGAACTCAGCTATAAATGAAAAAATGGGTGCTGCAGGAGAGAGAATGCATTCCAAGGTCAGCCTTTCTGCTCAACACAGCCTTAACCAATGCTATGCCCAGAGCATTCCCGGGTTCATGACAGAGGGCAGAGGGTCACACACAGAGTAGTGTGGCTGCAGCCTATAGCCCAGGACAGTGAGAGGGTTTAGGAAGCAGTTCGAAACACTTTGCCTATATTGGTCCATATACTGCTACAACAAACCTATGAAATAAGTACTATGATGAGAGTACTTGCAAAAGATCATGAAAAAGCATTCAAAGATAATTCTGAAATTCATACACAGTTTTTTCATTATACACATTTTCCATGACTTTTTGGAAGGCTGCTTGTATTAGCTTCATTTTATAGCTGAAAAATGAGAGGCACAGAAAGCTTCTGTAAATTGCCCAAGACACAGCTGGTGACAGAACCAAAATCCAAATGCAAGCAGCCTGACTTCTGAACCTGTCCTCGAGGAGGACGAGAGCGAGGGGACAGACTGAAGCAGCAGTCCCTGGAAAAGGAGGAGAAGGTGCTGTCTACTTCAGCAGTGGTCGTGGGGACAGAGGAGACACCCCGAGGACAGCTCTGAAAGTGAAGTGCCCAGGACTTGGACCTGGAGAACGCGGGCGAGTTGAGGATGAAGCCTGCATGTCTAACCTGGCTTAGGGTGGATATGAATGTGATCAGCCCTGCGCATGCTGTGAGCCTCTGGCTCTGTGTTCAAGTTCTGGCTCAGATGGAAGGGCTAAGGTGAAGACAGCAAACTGGGGCTCAGCAGCTTGTCTGTGGTGAAAGGAGGAGACGCACTGACAAGTCTAGGGCTTGCATGAGAAGCACAGAGGAGTGAGGATGGAAACCTGGGTGATGCCTGCAGCTACTGGGCAAGAGGAGGAGACGACGCCCAGGGGGAGACAGAAGAGGGTGCACAGGGATGAGAAGAACTAGAAGAGCATGGAGTTAGGGGGAGCAGAGAGCAGCGAGGACCGGGGAAAGGACGGGGCTGAAGTGTCAAGTGCAGCAGAGGAAACCAGGAAGGATGGGGGTGAGAAGCCCCAGTGGATTCCACACCTAGCAGGTCAAAGAGTTCACAGGGGCAGAAACCAGACCCAGTGGGTTGAGATATGAATAGGGCCAGAGTGATGTGGGAAACAGTGGCCAAGAAGCATCAACCCATATTTGGAATAAGTTCAGAAAAAAAAAATTGGTAGCTAGAAGGGATGGGGGAGGCAGTCAGGACATTTTTATTTTGTTTGGTTTGGATTTGGGTCATGAGAGCTTTAGACCTGTTTGTTGATAGCCTGGGGGAAGTTGAAAAGAAGTTGGATCTGCAAGAGGACACCAGGATGTTCCCTAGAGTAAAGGTGATGGAGGTATCCAGGGTCAGGGTCAGGGTCAGGGGCATGATTTGGACTTGAACAGTATAGACAGTTGGTTCTCCGAGCCTTCAGGGAAGGACACAAGGATGGGGAGCAAGCCGGTTAACAGAAAGATCTCGCCTGAGAAATATAAGGCATAGTTGCCTATGAAGTAGAGAGGTGTAGGTGCTGAGCAAGGACATTGAGGAGAGTAAAGATTTAGCAGGAGAAAGGAAGCTGGCAGAGGACCGGAAAGATCTCAGTGGCCAGTACAAGTTCCCAGACCCTGGGGATCTTGGGATGTCAGTGAGGCGAGCTGTGTGGTTTTCTCTATCACTTCTCAGCCTTCTGGGTTGGAGCAAAGAGTTCAGTTTCAGCTTTGATCACGGCTAGAGTGTGGCTGCGAGGGTGCAGTGGAAAAAGGGTAGAAATGCAAGCAGAACGAGGGGAAGGTAACAGTGGTTCCATCAATCCGGAAATTGGTAGAGAGGGAAGGAGGAGTTCTGAGTCAGGTAGAAAACTTGAAGGCAGCAGAAGAATGAGAAAACTCAAGTTTTCATGAAAAGAGCAGACATCATGGGAGTCTGAAGTTGGGTTATCTCTGGTGGGGATAGGCTCAAGGAGCTGGCCTCGAGAGTGTGCTGGTGCAGAAGAGTGGAGAAGTTTTTGAGAGTTGCAGTAATTGGCAAAGTGAAACCTGTTGGTTGGGTTGTACTCATGGGCATGGAGGTTACCCGTGGCCATGGTGGAAATGGAGTGAAGAGAGGGGTGTAAGACCTCGGGGAAGGAGGTAGAAAAACCAGAAGGTAGAAGGTAAGTGGGTGATGGAAAGGAAAAGGAGCAGAGCCAGGAGAGATGAGGATTTGGACTGAGATTGGAGGATGCCTGGCCTGCATTCCACACTGGGAAGGGATGGGGAAGAAACCAACCCAGTGAGGGAAATAGGAGAGACATAAGAAAAGCAAGGTTTGGGACTCTTCATGGTGTGCGTTTCCTCAATGTCATGCTTGATTCTCTGATGATGTGTTGCTCTATTTTCCTTTGTCTCAGACCTTTCGCATTGCACCCCCAATGTGCGTCACTAAGCCAGAAGCTGATTTTGCGGTGGAAGTATTTCATTGTGCCTTAAGCCAGCACATGGAGAGAAGAGCTAAATCACATCATTAGAAGTCAAAAAACCACAAGCCTCAAGAACATCCCGCTTTTCAAAGGTGTATTTGAGGAATTTCAGAACCGTGTGTATTTGGAGAAAAACTGCAGTTCTTCATAGTAGGTGTAAAAGACGTGGTTGAGTGATACTAGCCTTGTTGGTAGAGCCCCTATTATCTTCAGAATTCTATCCTTCAGGGAAAGGAACTCTATCCCTAGCTCAGAGAAGAAATCCCAGTTACTCAGGATCAGGCAGTTCCCCATTGCAGTAATGGGTTTTGCATGAATATATGACGTAGTTTTGGTCAATGAGTCCTGAAGGGAAGTTTCTCAGTGGAGATGCCTTCCAGGAAAGCTTTTGTAACCCCTCAACCCTCAGCTTAGGAAGAGACGCCCTCTTCATGCACTGAAAACACCACACGTCGTGATGAGGTTGTTGGGAACTATACCAGCTGTCTTGGAGCTATGGGGGTAAGACCCATTTGCTAAAGTTGGAAGGGGGGGAGAAGCTGAAGGCTTAGTGATGATGTTCATGAAGCATCTACTTAATCCATCCTGGAGCCACCCTCCCTCAGGGCTTCAAGACACGTGAGACAATAAGTTCCCTGTATTGCATAAGCTTTTCTCATGTCTGCTTTCCATTACTGTAGCCTAAAGCATCCTGAGAAATTGTGCAGAAATTTCCCAGAGAAATAACTGCCTCCCCTAATTTCCTTAAAACATTTATCAGAGCTTTCTTCCTTCTCCATTCCCACTGCCGTCATCCCCATCCCCTGGTCTAAACCCTCATTATCACTATTGCAATAACCTCTGAGCCTAGAATTTTACAAACTTCAGTCATTTGAATGCACATTTAGATTTTCCTGGATATGTTGCCGTGTATCCCTTGTCTTAGAATTGTCAATGTTTTTCTTTAATTTCACTTTTGATGAAGGTATATTTAATATTAAACTTTTCATAATCACATAAATGAGAAATCATTACTACTTGCCTTTGGTGGAAAGAAACCATCAAAACAGAGTGAACACAAAGCAAGGTAATCTTGTCCTAGCAAGACACAAGTGTTTGCCAATGTTCTCAGCCTTAGGTCTATTCTTTCTTTGTTCAAAAGGGATTATACAGTATTTGAGAGGTGATAAAAATACACTGACAAACTGAGACTTTCTCCTAAACACAAACAGAAGAGTGGAGAAGAGAAAGACAAAAAAGCTGTGTCCTGGTTTTAAGCCAAGTCTTAACTGTCTACCCCCACTTCACCCCCGTTGAAGTTGAAATGTTCTTGCGACATTCAAATAAATACGTCCAGTATGCTAGAATTTGGGGGTTGGAGCTCAGAACAAAGGTCGGGACTGAAGACAAAGTTTTGGAAGAGTCAGCATGGCCAAGATGGGTGAGATTTCAGAAGTGGATAATGCTGTCGACAGGGAGAGAGCACAACATGGAAGAAGAGATGGCTCGGGATAGAGCCACACACACACAAGGTGTCTGTTTTATAATACATCCTACGTGTCACTGCCAGATTTATTTCCACTGGGCTTGGACTTAAACACAGCATTCCCTAGCACAACACCTTCTGGTCATCCCCCTGCTGTCACCTGGGTGAGTTCAAAACTTAACGAAGGACCCAATGCCTTCCAGGAGCCAATATCCAAACAGCAAACACGTTAGAAATGTTCTGTTCTGGCACGGTGAGAATATCATTGGATTAAAAAATCAATGACCTGAATTTGGAACTGAGGTCTTCCATTTCTTTGTTATAAATAATCTTGAGCAAGACTTTGAGCCTCAGTTTGTTCCGAGGCACAGCAACTCTTCCCCTTCTTAGTTCCTAGAGCTGTCTTGGAAATGAAGTGAGTCAATGAATGTAAAGGTGCCTCGCAAACTAATGAACCACACAAATAGAAGTGACTTCTCTTCAAGCTACACTTCTTTCCTCCACTACAAAATCTTTCCCCGGGGGAAGTCTTAGGCTTTGTTTTTGCTTCCTTGCTGCCCATCCAAGCCCCAACCACTAAAATCTCATTCCTACCTCTCAGTCCTTGGAAACTGACTTCTCAAAAGGCCACTGGTGATTTCTTTATGGGCAAAACAATTTTTCCTTTGTGTGTGTTTTCTTAACAGTGGCTTCTTCCTGAATAACATCCCTGATGGGCTTCTGTAATGTGGTCCTTCCATCCCAGACAGCTTTTTCTGTCTCTTTCCCGGCAACTTGTCAACCAGAGCCATTTCTTCTTCCAAGTTCTGCTCTCTCCCTGTCGACAGCATTATCCACTTCTGAAATCTCACCCATCTTGACCATGCTGACTCTTCCAAAACTTTGTCTTCAGTCCCGACCTTTGTTCTGAGCTCCAACCCCCAAATTCTAGCATACTGGACGTATTTATTTGAATGTCGCAAGAACATTTCAAATTCAACAGATTTGACACCAAGCCTGTTAAATATCTCTCTCCCTGTGACTCTCTTCTTTATTAATGGTACCCTTTTTAATCTCAGGCTTGCAGTTAAAGTTTTTCTTTTCTTACAAATTATCTTTTTGCCCTTTGTATGACTAAATCTCATGAATACTTTCATCAACATAACTTCTCCAATATGGTCCACTGATATCAACATTGTCTTAATTTGGGCCTTTATCTCTCCTAAATGATTTAAACTGCCTTCTAACCAGTATCCTACACTCCTACACAATCCATCTGCGCTGGTGCCAAAGTAACTTACTTAGAAATAAATATGACCATGTCTCTCATCTGTTGGAGAGTTTAAGGGATCCCTATTGTCCAAAGAACAAAGTCCAAACTCCAATTGTTACAGCCTTCCGGAACCCTCCTACTTTGTCCCCTAACCACATTTTTAACCTTTATTTTTACCATTCTTCCCATGCCATGTACCCTGGTTCTTTGCTTCTATAATTAGTTTATTCTTCATAAAATGTTCTTTTCCTCATGGCCAGTGGAAATTATGGAGCCGGGGAGATTGGACAAGAAAGGAACACATACTCCTTAGTTGTTTGTCAAAGCCCTCCCACTTCCAATATTCCTTGTCCTCTAACATAGAGGAAAAAGAAGAACATTGAAAAATATAGGTTTTTTTAATAACCTCTTAGTAATTTAGTAAACTATGAAGGAGTAACAGGAAAACTTAAATCTAAAGCCAACAACACATGAACAAATGATCTTCATGCTCAGGCCAGCATCCCTGCTTTTGCCATGACAACTCCTAGAAGGATAGGGCTGAAGTATTTAGTCATTCAGATAAATTCATATAACAGAGCCCTTGTGGCTTCCTGGGTCTTACAGGGTCTTATGTTTGCCTAACACTATACCTTGTTAGTCCCCACCTCCAGGGGACATCCAAGCACCAAAGTATCATAGTTCATCTTCTGTTGCTATGACAGAACCTATGAGAGAGAGAGAGAGTAATTGATGAAGAGCATGGTGTCGGCCTCTGTAAAGAGAGATCATGAAGCATGTGCCTGCTTTAAAACTGGCTCTCACAGTAACTAATTCAGTCCTCAAGAGGGAGAACTCATTACAAAAGGCCATCACACATGCAGGAAAGCTCTGACCCCATGCCCCAAACCCCTCTTATGAGGCCCAGTTCCCAATGTGAGTTTTGGTGGGGGCAAACCATAAAACCACCAATGGAATTCTAAAAGGTCAACTCTTTCTTGAACAACAGTTGACAATTGAGGATGCGCACACATCAGAAGCAGTGGAGCAGAAAGGATAAAACGTTGTGGCTTAGAACATGTTGGGCCATTCCTTTCCTTCACTGGTTTATAAACATGACGGATTCCTCCCTCCTTCCAGTTGGAGTCGTGGGAAGATCAGCACCACCCTCTTTCTGCCTTCCATTTTCTGCTCTACCCACAGGAGGTGGGCTGTGAGCCAGCTTACATAAGTCTGGGAGCCCACATTCTTGCCAAGCTACTTTTTTTTCCTTCTTGTTAAAACTGTCTAAAGTGAATGATGATGAATATTGAGCTCTTTTCCCCATAATGAACATATTGACATTTGATCATGTGATTAGAATATATCATTAAAATGTTGGCGACTGTTTGAAAACACTTGAAATGCCAATCTACTCAGGATAGAGTAATTTTAAAAGATTCCACACAGCCAGTTTTGGTTACACTATTATACTAATAATTACTGTAATATAACACCTGTAAATAGGCAATGCAGTAGTAAACCAAACTTGTATTTGTATTGTAAAATGCTGTCTTTTGTATTAGTGTAGTTTTCAACTTTATGAAACAGTTGTTCATCATTATCCATGGGGGGTTGGTTCAGCCCCCTATCTCCAGACACCAAAATCTGTCAATGCTCAAGTCCCTTATATAAAATTGAATAGTATTTGCATATAACCCACATGTGTCTTCTTATATACTTTAAATCATCTCTGGAACATGTATCATACTCAATACAATGTAAATGTTAAATAAGTGGTTGTGATTCCCATTACTTGGGGAATTATGGCAAGAGAAAGGTTTGTGTTCAGTATACACACAAGGTTTTATCAACTATTTTTCATCCACATCTGGTTGAATCCATGAAAGCAGAATGCATGGATACAAAGGCCTCACCTCAAATGATATATTTAAACTGCGGTAGGGCTTAACTCTTCTTTAAATCATAATGCAATCTCATCTTTCCTTCAAGGGATAACAAGAGAGCAATGGGAAACATCAAATTTGCCTCTTCCTCATCAGAATGTTAATATCAGAGTATCATAGGCAGTACTCAGGAACAACAGTAATAAGCAGCTGGGCCCTGCATCAGTAGTTTAGTCTTGCTTAACCAAACTGAAGGCTCACTTGCAATTGAGGTACAATCAGTAAAAATGCCACATATTTGCCTCTAGTAGGGAAAAGTGTTTGGCCTAGTGATTAAGATACCACTTGGGATACTTTCATCACATATCAGGGTGCTTGAACTTAAATCCCAACTCCAGTCCCTGTTTCCAGCTTCCTATTAATGTACTCTCCAGGAGACAGCAGGCAATGACTCAAGTAGTTGAGTCTCTGTCACCCACTTGGGAGACCTGGGCTGGGTTCTTGGCTCCTGGCTTCACCCTAGCCCAACCTGGGCAATTGCAAGCATTTGGGGAGAGCTCTCTTATCTGTCTTTCACATAACTAAAAATATTTTTAAAGCGGTAAGAGTAGAATATACATCCACAAAGGATCACAACAGAAACAGAAAGCACACTGAATTCATTAAGAGTGAAGCCATAGAAGCAAAAACCTGGATGTCATGAAGATCAAGGAGTTAAGCCTCGATCTGACTGGTGCTGAGCAGAGGGGCAGTTCGGTGGCCTTGGAGTGGCTGTGAGATTAATCCATGAGAGAGAACATCACAAAAGAAAGCTCAGGATAGGGTTTTCCACAGCGAGTGAGAAAACACAAACTTTCCATTAGATGGGACTTGATGCAGTGAGAGGAGGTTACACCAGCTCCCATTTGATTTGTTTGGGGCAAATTAACTTCTAGGTTAATTTGATATCAAGCTTTCTCACACCCAAAAAGAGGATGACATCACCCCCATGGAACCCTATTGAGAGTTTAAACAAGAAAATACTGCAGTCACTGCTCATTACTATCAACTCTGTCCGCAGGAGTCCCTGCCTTTTCCTGGAACCTCCTTAGCAGGCACTTGGCTCTCGCCATTTGAGCTAATGTTTGTGCTTGTGCAGACATGTGATCTGCTGAACTTGACTCTAAACTATTGGCCAAGTGACATTATCTAATCCTCATAAACTTGGAGCCTAACATAATGTTCCTCACAGAGAGGCAAAAGCTAACTCCTCACAGTGCTGTGTGCATTTTGTCCATAGATCTTATGGCATCTTAGACAACAACTAGCCCACTTGAGATAAATGATTAGTCATCTGACAAGGCTGTGATGTCTGTATGTGATTTACAAATATGTGTAGTATATATATTCGGATATTTGTTACTATATAGCTAGAATTACATACTTCTAGTCAATGTGTATGTATTTAGATATATATCATATTATCATATGTGTGGATTCTTAGCTAACTGCTAAGAATAATAATAAGGATAATAGTGTACCCTAGGGACATTACCAAATACCATCTCAGAAAGGAAGGAAAAAGCCACTGTTAGATGACGTATGACAAGGCCTTAATAACCCCAGGAAGAATTTAGAAGCTTCCCAGAAATCTTCACGCTTCCTCCAAGGCTACATTGCAAATCTTTGCACTCTGCTCAGGCCTGTAGTCCACAGTTTGGCCCTTCTCACTCTCAGTACACGACTTGGCATTTGACTTAATGGGAAAACAGGAGGTGTATCCAACAAGAACTCTGATTCTCACCCTCCTGCATAGAGCCCTCCTCTGCCTTCCTAAAATTGCCTCTTGCTTGCTCCCCAGCCGGTGCCCAGTGCCCTTTCCTGGCCTTCTCCCCAACATCTTGCTGGTCTCTCAACTCTCGTAGGGTCCTGCAGGGTGCACTTTTGGCCTGCACCTGCGACAGTACCTTCCCCAAACTCCAGGCTCCTCTGCCCTTCACAAAGCCTGTGTTCACTTTCATGGTCAAGCTATTATTTCACATCGACCTTTGCCCTCCCCTGTATTCTCCAGGATCTTGTGTGAGTTGTTCATTCTCTACTGGATCTTTAACTTCTACATTCTTCTTTTCTTCTCAACCTATAAACATGCAGTCTGTCATTGTTATTGCATTAAAAAAAAAAAAAACTTTCTGCAA